AGGAGTTGCTACGGTGAGAAGCAGCTGAAGGCAAACATTTCTTAAAACATTTTCTTTCTCTTCCATGAAAAGCAAGCTCTATCCTCTATGTGGCTTGCTATAGTTAGTGCACAGCACTGCCACGGTTCTGGTTTTGTCCTGCAACCTCAGTAATGAACTTCTTGGGTTAGTAACCTTTGGCCTAATCAGGAACTGTTGGTGGCTGCAAGCTTAGGTGGGAATGGGGAACCCTACATAGCCAAAATGATTAGTTTTGCTTTAGTTGTGGAGGGTTCTTTTAAGGCAGAAGGGAAAGAAAATATACCACTTCAGAAGGTAGCACTGGGGGCACCAGTAGTTGTTTTTAATCCTCCCAGTGCAGTGTTCTTGCAAGGCACAGTGTACACATTGGCCATCCCTGTTTTAAGGAGCACTTCTTTGCACTTACTGTACCTCTTATTGGTGCAGCCAGGCACTTACTGTATGCACACAGGAATTGAACCCCATTTAATGGGCATCTTACTTGAATTTATCCATGTATAATGCAATGCACCACAGTTATTTGTACCTTAAGCAGCCTCTTGCTACAAAGAAGAGAGCTGTGACTTGGATTAAATTTAAATCCTTGTTTGTAATGTGTTAGCATAGAAAACTAATGCCAAAATCTATTAAGTCTTCAAGGTTTTTTTGTTCTTGACATTGGGTAAGTACTGAGATCTTGACCACAATCTTATTTTCTTCTGTGCAGGAGGAAACAGTCGATGTAGTTCTAGTAATCCGGACAGAGTGTCACAGCTGGCTTTATGAATGTCTTTGGGGAAGGGGGGAAGGAAAGTTAGCAATTGATTAACGTTGTTCTTAAAATCAAAGACTACCTTAGTTTCAGGAGTTGCTATAGCAGGCTTCTGGGACCTTGGCAGTTAGTTCAGAAGAACAACTTTATTTATTTTATCCCTTAAAACATAATACAGAAAACTATAATAATAGGCCTAATAGTTCCAAATCTGTATTTCCAGCTCCTCAAAAGGAAATTAAAAATGGACACTTCGTCTTTCTGGATTATGGTAACTGTATTATATACGAGTATAAACAGCCAAACATTTTTGGCTATACTTGTCAAACAGGTTTTCTTACGTTTCAGCAAACTGTACTAGACGTAAAATGGTTTCCACAATTAAAGAGCATATAAAAATGAACAGTAATACATGTAGGAAAAATGTGCGTGGTTTTACAGTGAGTTTTTTGTATAGCTTTTTTTTTTTCCTGAGGGCAGGTTGATTGCAAGTCACTGTGAAACATAAATGATATTGTGCCCACTCAGTAGTAGGTGCTAAGCGTGCTGTTGTTTAAGACCCTGCTTACATTTCTTTAAGAATTCCTAGCAGAATTCAGCAACCTGCATTCTTATCCTGTATTCTCTAAGATGAATCCAGCGGATGAACCAATGTAGCTGTACTGTGCTGCTAGAAGCAAGTCTTTGGCAGTTATTAATGCCCAGGATTTTAAGGTTATCTTTTTCTTCTTAAAGGTGGCAATTTGAGGATTTCATTTAAATTGGAAGTCATTCTGTCTATACAACAGAAGCAGATTCTCTGATATATTCACCGTCATAATAATCTCTTTGACTCTATTACTAAAGGACAGGCTCAGCCCACTACCCAGAATTTTCAGCGTCTGTACTTAAAATGTTTCCCAGGCATACAGAAATTGAAAGCTAGCATCTTGAGTTCATCTGTGCAAATAGATAGCCTTTGAGCCCACAGTCAAAGTGAGGCTGAGTCATTAGGCTGTTGCAGTGGGACACATATATGTGGTTCTCTCTCAGCAGTATTATCTAATTTGTGGTCCTTGATGATTTATTGCATTAAACATAGTTTGTTTCATTACATGCTGAAATGTTTCCAAAATCTCCAGTCTGGCAAACAAACGTGTATTTTCCCATTGCAAAGAAGTATTCATCGCTGCCTGTAATTGCCTTTCTTACAGCCTAGCAGCAGGTGGTTGCGATGTGTGCAGAGGTGTGTCCTGGGCACTCTGGTGTGTTGGAGGGACAGACATCAAAACATAAGCAACAAGTGAGAAAGATAACATTTTTGAAAGAATATTCAGCTCTAACAAGAAACTTTTGTCATATCTTAAATCAAGTACCATCAAAAAGACTTGAACATCCTGTGTTTAAAATCATTTCTCAGTTTAAAAGGGTTTTGACTTGGGGAAATGCCTTTCTTAAAAAACCTTAACCCTCCTACTGAAGTGTTAGAAGTTGTGTCCAGTGGTGTCTGTTGTCTCTGTTTTGAAGCAGAGTACCACTGAAGCCACTCATCTGTCTGACACGAGGTCCTGCCTCCAGCCATCCTTGTGTCTCAGCAGCAAAACATGTCAGAGCACGAGCAGAGCAGCTTCCCTTGCAGAACACCCTCCTGCTCTATTTTCACAGCAATCTTCAGTGTCTCTGGGTGCATGCTTTCCTCCTTTGAAAATTGTTTGTTTCACAGTGACCTTTATGCCACATGAGATGTGTAGATAGCCAGGTGACATGACGCTTTTTGTTTGTAAGTGGCATTAACTCTGGATGACAAGAGGCAGAGTAATGCCTGTGGGTTTGTTTGGGGTTTTCTTGTAGTAGCTCTTAAAAGTTTCTGCTCAGTTCTAGCATAGGAGGCTTTGTGAACTTTGCAAGAAATGCTGCATCCTAAGGCATTGGTAGCCATTGATGGTCTTGTCTGTATATAAGTATATATAAATGAGCAATATTATATTTGTGTGTATAAGTACTTAATATTTATAAAATAGCTATTTTGTAACAACACTGAAATGCACAAGTAATGCAACCAGCTACCAGTAGTAGCATCCACACTGCTGATGTCTTAGAAGCAGCTTAAAGAAAGACTGTATTGTGAAACTCCAACTCTAGGAACAGAGGTTGTGCTGAGACTGCTCTGAGAACTTGACCTTAGTTACTGGAGTCTGAAATGCAAATCACTAATGATCATGAGAGGGTTCCAAAAACCTGTTCATTGAAGAACATAACACCCTTGAACAGCTGAGATGTTGGGTTAGCGGAGGGATGAAAAACTTCCCTGTAACAAAATATCGTATTGTTCAATAGATAAACGACTGACTGAAGTCTCTTCAGGAAACCCTAGTCTAGAATATTTCTGAATTATTTATATTCTAATTACATTGTTCTGTTTGAGAAGTGTACACTCTTGGCATTCTTAGCATACTTTAGGTGCTAGTATGGAAAAAAAGAGATTTGTTTTGTTTTACATCTACCTTTCCTTCTGCAAACTTTAAAAAGTGAAATATCATGCTTTGAAGGAGGTAAGATGACATGTTTGTTCCTAGAATTCTTGCAGACTGACTACAAACTGTCATGACTTAAAAATACACTTTTTGTACACGCTGTTTTGATCTTTGTTTTTAAAGGGTAGATCATAGTGTGCTAATACCTACATTTTTATCTGTTAAAGCAAACAGGGAGATCAGAGATAGGAATCTAATTTGGGTACACTCGTTACTTAAACACGAGCAAAATGACATACAGTTGCTGTATGAATTTAGATTCAGTTTCGGTTGTTTCTCAACACGAACCACTCAGCATGTGATCGTTGATTTCCTCCTTGCTGGCTCTGAAGCTTTGTACTGGTTGCTTGCTCATCGCTATTGATCATTCTTAAGGAAAAAAATGTTGATTCTTTTAATATGCCTATATATGGAAACAATGTCATGGATCTCCCAGTACAACTATTAATAGCCTCTCTACATATGCATAATAAATAATTTATTTTAATCTGCACTAATAGAAATGCACTTGCAGGAATGACAAGTGCCTTTTAAATATAAATCTGCATAGTTTTTTCCCCTTGCATGACTCACTCAGTTTGTCATTTCTGACTTGTTTGTTTGCTGTCTCTTTCACAAACAGCCAAATCTTGTGGCTAAGTGATTATTCCAACTACTTTTAATAGTTAAGAATCTTTCAGTTGCTACCTCTTCATATTAAAAGTGATAGTTATGGGTAGAAATTTTAATAGCAAGGGTCTAAAGATGAGTTAGTAAAGCTTTTAAACCATCCTTAAAAACTTGTTAGGGGAGTCTGTACAGATATAAATATTTTGACTAGCATTATCTGATATGCATGGCCCAGGCAGAACCTCCTGATCCTCATCTCTCCAAAAGTAGCTAACACAGAACTGCATAGGATTCCTTATTCCTGCTGGTCATGGAACTACAACCTCAGAGCTTTCCCCCTTGTTTTATTTTTTTGTTAATTAATGTATCATAACTTGAAGTGACTGAAGATGTTCATGTGTTGATACAAATCCAGAATGTTAACTTTTATTTCACAGTTATTCATTTTGAAGAAAGGGGTTTTTGTGTCTGAAGTTTGAGTTGGTGAAATAGATGTAGAGCATATCTAGAGATTGTGTGTTCTGGGAGCTCATTAAGATTTATTAGCCTGATGCTGTTCTTTCTGAACTCCTTCCCAAATGTTGTTTTTTGCAGCACCTGCCTACCTAAATATCCAGACGGTTCTGTTAACGTGATGAGGAAAGCATCATGAAGGTTTTTTGTTTTGGTTTTTTTTTTTTACTTTTATTTCTAATGAAGTTAATGAGAGTTAGTAATTGTTAGAATTTAGTCTTATTTCCTGTTTTCATTTCGTCTATTAAAAGACACAAATCTAGAAAATTATAAATGTGAGTCATTAGCTCTGAGGCATATAAATGCTAGGCAGGCAGCCATGACAAATCCAGAAGTATTTAAATCTCTTGCTGATAAAAATAGGCACAGTAAAAATGTCAATAAATTTAAAATTAACCTCCTGTAAAATGTAACCCCTGTTAACATGTAATGTCTTGTGAGATTGTTGCTTTGGGGCAGCATGTAAGTTAGTACATGGTCTTAAAAAGTAAGTATTTAACATATAAAGGCCAAAAGCCAGTCACTGCAATTTGCAGCATATGTTGTCAAGAAACCATGTCTTCTGGTAGTTACATTGATGTTTTTCTTTCCAGGGGGATGCCAAAAGTCTTCTGGTCTCTGAGAACCTGAGCACTGGCCAAAAGTTGGACTTTTCAGATACAATGGTACAGCAGAAGCTGGATGAAATAAAGGACCAAATCAAGCGGGAAATAAGGAAGGAACTTAAAATCAAGGAGGGAGCTGAGAACCTCAGGAAGGTCACAACAGATAAAAAGAACTTGGCATATGTGGACAACATTTTGAAAAAGTCAAATAAGAAGTTAGAAGATCTGCATCATAAGTTACAGGAGTTAAACGCGCACATTGTCGTAACGGATCCAGAAGATGTTACAGGTATTGTACGTTATAATGATGGCAGTTTACTTTTGTTAGTTTACATAAACTATTGCCTGTTTCAATTGGAAAAAAACTGCTCTGGAAATGAGCAAACCTGTAGGTGGAAAGTTGGTTACCTGTGTATGCTTGTTAGTTCTGACTCAGAAATGAATGTCCAGTCCCTCTGGGTTGAAAATTGTTTTCTGGGGAGGAGTATGGACTATTTGTTGATGTGTGAAGATGAATGTAACCTGTGTTAATTCTTCACTTTCAGTTATTACCATATTCATATATTTTCTCAGTCACAGTAGTATCATCTAGTGGCTTTTCATTATATAGAAGCAATTTTCCGTATGAAATATCCACAGTGAGGTTGCCCTTTTTAAGATATACTGAAATTGTTTTAATTAATATTTTTTGTGCCTTGGTGGTGAGTTGATATTACTTTTGAATATATATATTTTATAAAAATATCAGACTTGGTATTTTAAGATGGAACATTGTGAAAGTGAACAGTCCTTTTTCAGCTTTATGGAGTGACTTAGGAGATGCTGCCAGCCTGTTGATTTCACATTACGTGGACTCTTTCTGGCAAAAAGTTAAATGCACACGTGCCATTGAAGGTGTTTATAAAGTGAGTGCCAAGCCTTAAGAAGCTTGAGCAGTAGAATTACAAGACTACATCATCCTTCATTTTCTAGAAAGGTTGGTGAGGGTGAGAATTCAGGAAAATACTGGTAAGCGATAACAGGAATGCATAGTATCTGGCCCTGCAACGTGCTAGGAAAATGTTGCAGTGTCTATGGTACACTTGCACAATGTGTCCTGCATTTGTTGCTTTTGAGGTTTGAGAGCGACAGTTATGGGGGGGGGAAGGGGAACTAGTGAAGCAAATTAGTTGCTGCAGCATGAAATGAGAATACATACATATGCGTCAGAGATGGCTGTTGGGTTTTTTAGTAGGTATGAAGTGTTCTGTTTCATACTGGCTGAGGTTTATGAAATTCCTCTTCAGTGTTGAGGGTAGAGGGGCCTTTAAAGGAACAAGCAGAAGGAAAGAGAAAGAAAATTAGATGCAAATTCTCTAGAGACCAAATATAAAAATCTTTGTAGACGTGGATATGAGAAATGAATCTAGTAGCGGAACCTGAAAAGCAGATGGCACAAAATGTACAAAAGGAACGCTCCCTTCCAGGGCAGCATTTTAAAATTGTCAGAAGGAGCTAATCAGCAGTATTGTCCTTGTGCCTGTGCACATCTCAGAAAATACAACAGACCTTTAGAAAGCACTTAGTAGTTCTAAAGAGATTTAGATCTTTGGGTGCAAATAAATAATTAACTAATGCTGTTCAGGTCCATGGTAAGTTTCTGAAAATGCCAGCAGTGCCCATTGCTTTTGTGAATAATGGATAGCAGCCAGACTCATCCTGCCCTTTATTCTACACCAGAGACTTCATGAAAGGCTTAAGGAGTAGATCAAAGTTGATAATCTTATGTACTTCTAACTGCTTTGGATGCATGCTAAGCCCCTTAATACCTTAATACTACGTTTTTAACTTTCATTCTGTTTAAAATGTTATTGGCAGATAGCCCTTACAGTCTTAATTATTAAAACACACCCTGAGAAAAGTGCATTGTTTCTTAACTGCTTCAATTATTGCAGGCTACAAAACTTTATAGAGATCATTTTAAAATCACATAGGTATTCCACTGTAAGACTCCTTTTAATATTTTACCAACTTCTAGGAAAAAAGTTTTAAACCATCCTTTCTTAGATCCACAATCTATAACCATCCACCTCTCCAAAGCTGAAATTACTGAGCTTTTGTATCCTGTTTGCCTTGTAATTCAGTTCTTCCTCGTCCATGGTCACTCAGTCATGGGGAGAAGGGTTGTCAATCTGCAGACAGACTGAGTGCTCACTAGCAGGTGCATGTCATCTGGATGCTTTTCTGATTTTAATGTTGAGGTTTTTATCTCACTAATAGCTGAAGTCAAAACTATAGGCCTAGGCAAAGTAAGGCTGCTAGTATAAAGACTTAGGACACTTAAGCCTACTCCGTGTGTATAAAATATCTGCATAATATTCCACAGATATGTAGAGATGTGGCCTCAGACATCCCTGTTGTCTGACAGCACAGCTCCGTGGAGAGGTCACAGCTATCTCAGCCTGGTAATTCTTGCTTCTGCTTCAGACTGACATCATGAATTTTATAACCATTTCCTCTAGTATGTAAGAGTATTCCAGACATTATCTTTATTCTAAGTTGCAGCTTTTTACTTGTATTTTACCCTTTTCTAGTCTGTTAGATACAAGTGATTTAAAAGAGTGAAGGATGCATATGGGAAATTTTTAGACTATGCAAAGGGTAAATATGGAAAATAAGGTTAACAAAACAAAACTGTGGGAGTCGAGGCTTATATTCTTTTGATATACTTACGCTATTTTATACTTTTGGTGGTCCTAGGTTTTCCCAGACTTCTAAGTACGTTGTAAAGGTTACTGGGAGTTCTAAGTAGCAAAGTCAGGACTGAGATCCTTCAACAAGTAACACCGAGAATAGTTGTCTGTAAGGTTGTGATCCTTTTGATCTGTCAGGCCTGCTCTCTGAAGATTTTTGGACTGTTTCTGTTTCTATTGCTTGTCTGAAAATGTATAGTGGTGGCTTCAAAAAGGCATTTACTCTTCCCTTGTTGCAGTATGTGAGAAGTGGGTGTGAACATATGTTTGTAAAGTGCTCTACACTTACAGCTGGAAAGTGTCACACAAGCTGTTGTGACTCTTACTGCTGCGTATGGTGTCAAGCAGTGGCTTGCATTACTTTTTTTTATTTTTCAATGAACCACTAATTTATAGTGCAACTACTTTGTAATCAGCACAGTATAATTTGTAATTTATGTAGGTAGGTCACTCTGGAAGTACTGTCTCCTATTTATTTCCAGGGAAACAACAACAGATACAGAGAGCACAATAACACTATTTGACAGAGCACATTCTCAGCTACAAAACACTACTTTTCAATGCAGTCACCACCATTAGCTGCGCATTTTTCACCAGCCATGAATGACAGCCTGAATGCCTTGTCTGTTTTTAAAAAAAATAAATAAAGTAAATAAACCTGCACCTCTGGAGGAGGCCCACTGTCACTGTTGCCATTGCTGAAATACATCACCCACCACCTCACATCCACTATTTGGTCTCCATAAAGATTCAGCCAGTGTCAGTGAATGTGACTGGATACCATTTCTCTGTTTGGAGGTATTATTTTCATAGCAGCCCCCATAAGTTAAAACCATTGAATGTAATCTTAATAAATCTTCAGTAGAAAAAACGTGTCATTAACATTCAGTTTTAAATGAGTTGGGATATTTTGATGGTATCTTGCCTTGAGTTGAAAGCTTTCCACGTCCTGATCCCATAGGAAATTATTTTCCCAACTACTTAAATTGGTATTAAACCTTAACCAAGAAGTATACTCTGCTAAAAAAAAAAAAACCTGTATCATTGAGTGTGAGGATAGATACGGCAGCTGACGTGTGCTTCAGAAACAACTATAACCATAATGTATGTTTACTTTCCAGTATGAGGTTGCTGGTAAATCTAGATCTGTTCTGGAAGTGAGACTTTGCACCCAGGTCTGTCCTTATCATGCAGTGGATTAGTCATACTAGGATGCAGGGTTTTAAAATTTGTGTGTCAGCACTTAAACGTGAAGCAGAATGCAACAATATAGATGGAGTAGGACAAGTGTAGTAACCATTAAGGCTGAAAATCAGAGAGATTTATTTGAATGTATGACATGAGGATGTCACATTTTCACTCATAGACATGAAAGCATCTTGTATCATTAAAATATATTTCTGCATATTAGCACAGATTAAATTGATATTTTTTCATGTGTCTAAAAAGTCACAGTAGAGATTGCCCTTTTTAATATTATTCAGAGAGGTAAAAGGTTGTACTAGCTTACCTGCAGCAAGGGGTTGCAACAAATTTAGTTCAAGTATTGAATTTTTAGATGTCAGACTGTACCTATGGTACTGATATTTGTAAGAATTGTAACTTTGGGGAACCTCAGTATGGAATAATGCTTTTGAAGCAGTGTTGAGACAGTTTGCTTTCAGTTTTTCAGTAAGTCAAATTTGCCATTAAACAACTGAAATTCATTTCAAATTGAAGCATTTTTTCCAGGAAATCAGTGCTGGATGTTCTCTGTGAATGCAGAGCATCCACTGCTGCCTTGGACTTGCAGACAGGTTAGTTCTGTGCCATCACATCTGATTCCCTGTTTCTTTCTTTCTTTCTTTTTCTTTTTCTTTTTTTAACCCTAGCTATGCCTGAACAGTGTTTCTGTTGGTTACAACACTATATTAAATGTCCTCAAATAAATTAAAATTGTTTCCCAACTTGCCACTGAGCTTAGCAGCATGCTGCACTGCCATCAGAACCAAAATCTGGACAGTTACATGAGCTGTTACATTTCATACTGAGCTTGTTGAATAAACCATGTACTTAGCACGTGGGGAAGTCTTCAAAGAAAAGAGAAGCAGTCTAGAAAAAGTGGAATTGTCACTACTCTAATAGGGGTAGCTTAGAACATTAGTATAAGGTCATTTAGAAACAAGGAGTGTTTGCTGGTAAGCGTTACGCAGACTCAATCGAACTGAAGAGGTTCTCAGAAGAGCAAAGATAAAAGTGTTAAGATAAACACTTCAAACCAAAAAGTGCCATTATCCTGATGCAGTCCAGACACTCTAGCAAAAAAAAAAAAAAAAAAATCCATGAAAGCGTTACTTTTTACTTCAAGTCTTATATTTTCATGAAAACAGGTCCTGGGGAAGCAGTATCACAGCTCTGGCAGTGTGTTAACAGGCTGCACAAAACTCTTTAATGTTAGCAGCAAAAATAACAGGCTAGTTACATGAAATGAAGTCTAGTTCACTTGAAATACATCCGTTACTTCACTTGATACTCAAAATGTCAAGAGAAAAATGTTTAGGGGCACTAATCCATTGACCAGAAGATCTGTTACTGTCTTATGCAAAGGTGGACTTGAATACATCAGAAGTGACAAATCTTGTGCTATCCTTATTGACCTATTAACATGGCAGACTAGAGAATCTGTCATTTTTCTTGGTCGTCACTTACTTTACTTCAGTGAATTATCAATTTGGTATAAATACTTTAACTCTTCAACTTTAAGTATGTACATAAAATCCCATTGATTGTACTCACCTAGATGAATTTATTACTTATTTGTATTACAGCAATGACTGAATGTCTCCAGGTGAGACTCAAGCCCCTCTGTATGATGCTTTACACAAATAGGTAATCACTTTAGTATGGCTAGTTATGCCTACTTAGGTTGTAAGAGATACAAAGAGAGGGAAACAGATGTAGCTTGTAGCGTTGCAGCTAAGATTGTCATTGCTTTCCATAATAGGACCTGTTTGGCTGGCTGACTTAAACTTTAATCTGAATTCTTCTATAAGAAGCTGCCTCAGGCTGTTTATTGTAATGAGGCTGGGGGGGAAGGAGTCACTTGGAAGCCATTTCTGAAAAACTTATAGTAAACAACCATAATGTTCCACATTCAGAAGTTCAGCAAGCAGCTTCTATGACAGAAAGATTTAAAGAAAAAAGTCCTAATTATTAGTCTGTACTACAGAATTTTTCTTTGTTGCTGCTTGCTAACAAAACATATAGTAACTCAGTTTCTACTAAACAGTAGAGGGGAATGTAAGTCCACAAGTGCAGACCAGCTCTTTAGATGACCCAGGTAGGTGATGTGGTTATACTTTCACAGCACAGACAGGCAGAGGGAGATAATAGCAGCTGCATGGGCAGCCAGAATTGTATCTCTAATTAGTGCTTGACTTGCAACATGAGTGTTGTTTTAATGCAAAGGAAGAGTGCTTGTTTGCATCTGTAAAAGCTGTGAAAACAGACTTCAGGAGAACCACAATCTTCCCCATGGATCATCAGAGGACTGGGATCTTTAAGTGGTAGAAGCCGGCAACATAAATCTAAAGTTGGTAAATATTCATTTACAAAATTATTCTACTTTATAAGGAGACCTGACACTGTGACTTCCAAGTTTCACGTTTGTTTTAATTTTGAACAGATTAGTAGGTGAGGATTTGTTAAATGTGAAGACATAAGTAAGAGAAAAGCATGTTGTTAATCTTTTTTTTATTAATACCAGATTTAAGCTAAAGCTGTGCAAGTGCGGTGTTTCACAAACCAAGCCAAAACACTGAGGAGAGGAAGAATGAGAAAACAGATGAGGAATAGCACGGATTTATTTTTTTTTTAAACATCTGGTACTTTCTGCACTACGTTTAAGTAGTGAGTGTGCAGTAAGAGTCTTAAAGTGTCTTGAACTGAAAAGTGAATTAGCAGCAGAGGAAATTAAAAGTTCTACTTATATGAAAACTGTGTGCAGCCTCATCAAAGACCACAGCGTAGAAGAAGGAAATTACATGGCAAACTCGAAAGTAAAATGTATTAAACCTCAAACATTAGTTATTAGAAGCTTCTGCAGAATTAATATGAAATGGCAGATAAGACACCCCTAGATAACTCACAGTTAATAATTTGTAAGTTCCTAGTGCAATGCCTGTGTTTTCTAATAACCAAAGATGTCAGTAACTTGATCCACCATCTTAGTTTTAATTCAAGGAAAATTAATTAAAATTGAAAAAAGACCAAACTGTTGATACCAGATAAATAGTCTTCAGGAGACCAACTAAAGTCATTTTTCTGTAGAGTATCTATTGCCTCAATTGTTAAAGATAACAACAACAACAAAACATTATAGTAATGGATATAACTTACTCTCATTTACAAAAAGTTTAAATGAGAAGTCATTGGGCCTGTTAGGGAAGACAATCAGCCATAGCTAAAAGGATGGTCTTGCTGAAAATCACGGAACAATTAACCATTAGGAATTAGGACCACTTGTTTTCAGTTCATTAACCGTTCATGGTGTAGAAGCTAAAATAGGAGCCAGTGGTGAATAGACTTTTCTGGAGAAGGAAAACCAAGTTAAGGAGTTTAAGTATGTAATTTGTTTGATTGAAAACTAACTCACATTCTATTTAATTAATCCAACAAGATGGAGGTCTAAACACAGTAATATTCGCAGACAAAAAACTTAGTTCTTCCCACAGATCATAGCTGTTCAGTATATCCAATTAACCCATGACTCAGTTAGCTCTGCAGAGCAAAAATCATTCAGTCTGATGTAGGAAAAGGCTCACATTCTCTGTTCTTTTGACATAAATTGTGGCTACAGTGGGCGTAGCTGTAATAATATGCTGAAATCAATGAGGAAATAAATCTACTTAATATCAGCATTTAGAATATGCTTATTGGTATTGAATAGTACGGTCCAAGTTTGTTTGTTGTAGATTTAAAATCAAACTGTAAGAAAGCTTATTGGCAAAGTGCACTTTTAATTGACTCAAGACATGCCAGAAGAAATAAATCGCCTTTGAAACAAAAATAGCCCAAGCTGCAAACCTGCCTATATTACCACTCCCGGAAGTGATTCATGTGAATTAGGACGTGTGTGGGAGTCACTGTACTTTGGTGAGGCTTTGCATGTTAAGGCGCATTTGCAGAGCTGCTGCAAAGTAGCTCAGGACAGGACAGTCAGTCTGAAGTACCGAGTGTGATGTTTGTGCTTTGTTTATCTATAACTTAACAGAACAGGAAAGTTTTGGGGGTGTGAGGTTTTTTTGTTGTTTTTTTTTTGTTTGCTTTTTATTTTTTTCTTTGCTCCACACACTACATCTTGCATTTAATTCACAGATTGTCCTAGGACTCCTGATACTCCAAATAGCGATCCTCGTTTTCCTACCAACAACAGATTGATGGCCTTAAAGAAGCAACTGGATATAGAACTGAAGGTGAAACAGGGAGCAGAAAATATGATACAGATGTACTCAAATGGTTCTTCAAAGGTAAGGCTTTGGAATGCTTAAAGAATGTTAAAATAACTGTGGAATTTCATATTGCTGCAGTATGAAAGTACAGTGTGTAAGCAGCGTGCAATTTTGGTGTTTTGGGGTTGATTTGTTGTTGTCATTAAGTAGCAGTGTAAAATCTGCTACAGACTGCTAGGCTGTTTTTGTTGTGGTTTCATACTCACTCAGGATACTTGCTAGACCTGGTTGTTTTATCAGTCTGTCCACATGCAATTCAACCTCCATAACAAATCCGGTTTACTAAATTTAGTATGTCTGGTAATCTTTGATTATGTGTGATTTACAAAGCAGCAGAGGTTGGTATGGAATCAAGTGGTGGCTGATGCTTTTTCTAGCCCCACTAAAAAATGTACGTCCATTAATTTAAATTTAATTAAGACAATTATACTGAAGGTGATATTGTCAGATACATTTCTGAAATGTTCATCAGATTTCAGTTGCCAGTAACAAGACTTGTACCAAAAAATGTGTTTCAATAAGAGATGCAAAATATTCAGATAGCATTGTTATAATCAGCATTGGTACACAGATACGTGAAATACTTCCTCTCCTTCCCTCTCCCTTGTGTTTATTTACTGATTTATTTAACAGAAGTGTGGTATTCTAGCGGTAGTGACCTGATAACATCAAGCTGAAACTAAAAGATCTCGAAGGGGCAGGAAAGGGGCTTGCTAACTCCTAGATGGGTTTGACTTATTACATAGTCTTAACTAGGTAATAAAATTCACATGAAGAGAGCCCTTAACTCAACTGAAAGACTCACCTAATTTTTTAATGGGGGTAGAAGGGGAAGAGTTATTTTGAGTATAAGGTACTCAGATGAGTAAAACAATGTCTAGGGGGATCCTACTTGCAGCCCCTTCTGCTTTTGTTAGTTACTAATTACCTTTGCTTTCCTCTTACTACATCATTGTGGAGATGAACTGAATCTCCAAACTAAGGTGAAGAACTGACATAGGTATAAACAAATAATATGTAGTAGCTTGATTGGTGTCAAGAAGTTGGTAAACACAACTGAAATGTTTCAAGTTCTTATCTGGCTGGCCCAACACATAGATGAGATGAGTCAGTGAACGTATTCAAAAGAAATGTTTGATTTGAAAAGTAAACTTCTGTAAAGTGCATTGCTGCCAGTTACTTTTTTGGTTAGTACAAATTCTATTGGTGAGGAACGACGTATTTCTGGATGAATTTCTTCCAGGGACTTGTGGAGAGGCAGATTACTTTTGTACCTGCACCTACTCTTTGACTTCTTTGCACCTCCTGCTAAAACCACAGAGTGCTGCTCACTTTCTGAAAAATCATTTTAGAGTAGATGGCCCATAAGTGCCATCAAGCCCATGCTGACCTGTGAGCCAGCTGGTGCTGGTAGCCTCAGCTGAAAGTGACCTGTCACCTACTAGCCTGGGGCAGTTGGAAGAGGTATCTGCAGTGCCTTATGACTAAAGGCCGGGGAATGCAGTCCTCAGCTCCTGGAAACCCTGGAGTCTACATCCTCTGGGGCCATGTACTTAACATCAGGCTAGCTCAAAAATAATAATCAGCTGATCCAAATGGATCAAAAGATGTACGTGATTTATATCCCTAATAAACCCTCAGCAAGTAACCTTATAACAGGCTGAAAAGAACTTAACTAAACACTCAGGCTATAACATCAGACATTGCTAGCAAGCTTTGATCAGACTAGGAAGAAGAGGTAAATTCTGGCTTGCTTTATGACTGAGACATGTAATTAAAATTGTTGATTGAATCTTGTTCTTTCAATTGGTTTAAATGAGCTTACCAGTTTGGGTGTATGTGGTAACTGCGCTGGGGAGAACGAGCTGGAAACACAAGAGCATTGCCAGCTGCTTCAGCAAGCTGGATGCAAAGGATGTGTGTTCATTCTCATAGTCATAGTACTATGTAGTGAGGTAATTCAGCAGGGTTTATACTGTAGGCTTAAGTATGATGATTAGGGGGTAAAAAGTTGAACTTAAGTTTCTGGATGAGGTGGCCAAAGGGGGCAGAAAATTCTCACTTTGAATCCAACACGTAATTGGGAATGTTAAAAAGGGCCCTCTTTAAGGTATATTAAACTATTTTTTGACTGTTACCCAGGCATACCATGATGGAGTTTCAGATTTCCTGTATTATTTTCAAACCTAATTTTAATGGAGAGAGGTCATAGTTTGTTTCTTAAAGATTTAGAAAAACAAACAAACAAAAAAAAACCCAGTAGTTTGCTAATAATAATAAGTGTGTCATCTCAGGTGAAGGTTTTCCATTTGAACTTAGTCTGCTTTCTTCACTAACATTCAGTTCAACCTATTTTGACGTGTTTCTGAGGTATTGATCATTTTTCCTTGGACTTGCTGAGATCTCTCTGAGATCCCGTGACAGCTTTTGCAGGTCAGTTTATCAGGCATTGTCAGTTTCTGTGTACACAAGAAATGCTTTGACATATTTTTGTTCAGACCCCAACACTAAAGGAGCTGCTAAGTATAACACATCCATTCTGATCTTGAGGATGGGATGTTCTTTCTCTTGAAAACATAGGGTAAGTTAGAATCCCTAGCTAATTCGGTAATCTTAAATTACCTCAGCTTTACACATTGGTGCTCCTGAGCAAGTGTATCCACTGGAGTGACAGGAAGTGGGAGACAATCAGATGAAGTAATGGGAGAAATCAGATAAAAACAAAGACAAAAAATGCTTTCAGAAGTTGTGTGCATCAGGATGATGCATGGATGAAGTTTAATATAGGATTCTGACTTGTATGTAATCAGTTAGATCCTATACTCTGCTGTAGACAGTACTTATTTCAGCAGGTGATATTTGTATTTGAGAAGGCACTCATTTAACAAAATTAAGTGTACTAATTAAATAGTTGGATAGCTGATGTGGAATCTTCTGCATAAGGACATTATAAACATAAGGCTTATGCTGCTCTTCATATTTGAAACATTGATTAGTATTACGAATTAAAATCAAGAGTATGTACCCAACAGAACATATACTATAAAAATATCAGAGTAGGTAATACATTCGGTGCAAGGTCATAGCATGTGAATGCAATTTTTTTTTCCTTTTCAGCACACTGATTTTTCTAGCATCCTCTTTATAGTACTCACATATACTGTAGTGCCAATACTTTTAGCTCTGAGAATCTGTACTATGCAGTAGTTGTCTTGATGGGGACAAGGGGAGAAATATATATATATTTTTAAGTCTTAAATATTTGGTAATTTCGTTTGAAAATTAAAAATTTAAGTATAAACCACGTTTACATTAAAATGGCTTCATAATGAGGTTATGGGGTGGTTGCAAAATGAGTTAACCAGAGTGGCCTTTGAGCTACAGCAAGTGCAGTATTCATCTATACTGATTACTGTTTGTTAATCTGGCACTGCACAGCCATGACAAATTGACTGCCTTAATTTTTCCCACACTCCTTTTCTGTTTGAATCTAAGTCAGATCATCCTTAAGTTATCTTGTAATTCCCTATCCAATAACCATTTGATAATCCATCATAAATCAAGTCTCTAGTAGCTCTGGGACCAAAAAAACTGTATAGCCAAAAAACACATGAGGATATCTATCCACACTCCTGAGAGTGAATTAGTATTATTGATGAATCTGAAAGTTCATCTTCAGAAATGTTCTCCTCTAAGCTGCTTTTCTTGTTACAACTTTTGATAAAAGGAATTGGGTAGCTCCATCTATTTGGGACAAAAAAATGTTGTCCCTAAATTGCTGATGAAATAGCTAGTGAAGTAATCTGATATTTTGTGTTTATTAATGGAAAAATAATCAGTTTGATCAGGCAAAAATAATGCAGAATTATTTATAATTAAATATAATGTGCTGTGTGAGTTAACTTCATGTTTCTAATGTTGAGATTGAAATTTAACTCAGGTGAATTGGCACAGTGATTCTTGTATGTATTTAGTCTAGCAGATTTGGTTGTTGGAAGAGTTATTAGAAGAGTTCTTATATTCACAAGGGGGAAAGGCTTTAAACTAAAAGAGGGGAGATTTAGGTTAGACATTTGGGAGACATTTTTTACTCGGTGCAGTACTGGCACTGCTGCCCAGAGAAGCTGGAGGTGCTTAAGGGCAGGCTGGATGGGGCCCGGGGCAGCCTGAGCTGGTGGGTGGTAGCCCTGTCCATGGCGGGTGGATTGGAAGTGGGTAATCTTTGAGGTCCCCTCAAACCTCAGCCATTCTATGATTTACTATAAACTTGTCATTCTCCGTAGGATGGAGGTATTTTGCACTTTATATATTGTTCTTTCTTCAGTATCAGCTTAAATATATTCATCTACACATGGGTGTTTCTAGATTGTGCCTCCTTTATCCAGCTTTAAACAGAGTTTCCATGGAAGTAGTTTGTAGTCTATAAATCAATCTGAATACCCTTTGGTCCTAACCTGATTTCCTCTAGATTCTTAATGTGGTTAGTTGAATTGGTCTGCTGTACCTAATGAGCTACATAGTTCTTGTTCCTGAGTAAGTGGTTTTTAAAGCTTTCAAAGTATTGTATTGTGAAGAATTTACAATATTATCTTTTTTGTTTCAATAGGATCGAAAACTTCTTGCCACAGCTCAACAGATGCTCCAAGACAGCAAGACAAAAATAGAAGTCATAAGGATGCAGATTCTTCAGGCAGTTCAGACCAATGAATTGGCTTTTGATAATGGTGATGGACTACAGAAGAAATATTAATCTTATTAATGTCAGAATACCACATAGATATGTACCTATTTGCACACAGAGCTAAATTTCTAAAACAAAGGTTAGACAAACTTGCATGAACTGAAAATAGCAAAGTACCTTGAAGCTTATTGAAGAGAAATACAGGCTCTCTTCATCATCTTGTTCATTCCTTATCAAGTTCACTCTTGCTTTGTAGGCTTCATCCTGTGTGTGTGTGTATATTTTCTTTGTTTTGAAATAACTACTACTTTAAAGAAAAGTATATCACTACCCTAAACAAACAAACAACAAAAAAACTGATGTAGGTATAAAGCCTGTTTGTCATTCTTGAATAGACTGACCTAATTAGTACTAGTGAGAACAGAGGCATAGGGAAACTTTTATTATATTAGCCTTTAGGCTTGACTGGGAAGTAGTCCAAAAATTAGTATTTTTAAAAAAAAGAGATCCAATTTGAAACACACAGATATTACTGCATTTAAAAGTAGTTTTAAAATTGCACAACCTCTGAACTTTAATGGCCATGGGTGTATTAAAAGTTGTGGGCACATTGGTACATCTCTAAGTTTTAAGCTTTATTTGTATGCATCTCACAGAGTACTGAAATTGTAAGATAATGCTCCTAATCAGGGCCACAGTATACTCTCTAGGTATTGTTTGTTCTGTGGACTTGGTTTGTTTTTACAGTTATGACACTTCTGGCTTTCAAGAGCCCATCTTAGCACGTGGACTGTGCATGTTATTTGTTCTACAGAACAACAAAGAAATCCTCAAAATGTATAGTCTGCTTTCTAGCCTAGACTTATAAGAAAGCATGAGCAGGATAAAAAGTGTGCATCTGTGAAAGTACATATTGTTTTATCTATAAATAGGTATTAATGCTAGAAAGGGCTTTCAAAGGCCTATTTATGTTCCTACTACTCCTAGAGATGAAAACAGTGGGGAATATATCTAGGAGACTTTTTCCGTTTAGGAAATCTTAACGTCATAAGAGGTGGATATTAAAAGCTGTTAACACAGACCATTTGGGGAAGGCATTATATGAGACCTCTTATATTCCCCATACTTGCACAACCAGAGAACCTGGGATTTAGCAAGAGAATTCTCAGAAACTGATCAGGGATATATGTAGCTACAGAGTAATTTGAAAGATGAACCATCGGAATATGATTCAGAAATGTGCAAGTCTCAGAACTTCTTTCTGCCAGCTGCTGATGTTTGGGAGATTTGGCTTTCTATGAAGGTCATTTATCCCATAGCTTCCCTAATGACGTCTTTTATTTCTTGCACCTTCTAGCAATTACAACCCCACAAAAAGTAGTGGCTGTTTACTGGAGCGAGGCTGTGATTACTACTTTCATTCTTCAAAAGAGATATATATATATTTTTTTTTAAATTAGAACTTCACTGTTATTTTTATGACATACATAAAGCTTTTCTTCGGTCTACTGAAGCTGAATTTTTTCCTCCTCTGTGTGCACTGGGGAGACTTTAATATATAAAGATACTAAGAAAGGGTGTGGTTTTCAGTGACGTTTGTTTATATTTCTTTGCAGCAAAACCTGTGATAAGCCCTCTTGAGCTCCGAATGGAAGAACTACGGCATCATTTTAGGATAGAATATGCTGTTGCAGAAGGTGCAAAGAATGTGATGAAATTACTTGGATCTGGGAAGGTTACCGACAGAAAGGCACTTTCAGAAGTAATTCATCATTACAATTTCTGAAACTTTACTTTAAATGTTCTTTCAAGGGGAAAAAAAAACATCAAATATTGTATTTGTTTCTGTATTTTAAAAAGGCACAAGCAAGATTTAATGAATCAAGCCAGAAGTTGGACCTGTTAAAGTATTCACTGGAACAGAGATTGAATGAACTTCCTAAAAACCATCCCAAAAGTGGTATTATTATAGAGGAGCTTTCATTGGTCTCTTCACCCACGTTAAGTCCACGTCAAAGTGTAATATCTACTCAGAACCAATACAGTACACTGTCCAAACCAGCAGCTTTAACAGGTATGCTTTATGGGAGTTCTTTTATTTTCATCACATGGTATAAAACTAGTCTTTAGTGCTAACTTTGTTGCCTTTCTGGAAATATTTCATTGTTGGTTGTTTGATCTGGTCTGGTTTTCTTTGTTTGTTTGTTTTTAGACAAAGGCATTTAAAGTGAACAATGCAATGTCTGTGATTTATTTGTTCACCATTTTATAATCCTGCTGAAATAAAAGTGAAGTTCTGGCCTTAAGTTAGGTCACTAGGGAACAGTATTATGAGCATTCAGTGCTTTTCATCTTCACATTATCAAGCAGTTTTAAAGGTGGGCAAGTGTTATTATCCCCATTTTACAGATGGGGAAACTGAAGTGCAGAAGGGTTAAGTGGCTTCCTCTGGTCATATAACAAGTATGGCAGAGCTGACACCAAATCTTCCCAATTTCTTCCCAATCCCTATTTTGCACACTACAGTGGCTTCCCAGAAGGTGAGATTTATGTTACCAGAAACTTACTTATTTCTAAAGCAAAGAGGAAGAGCCTAACAAAAATGCACAGAGTTATCAAAGCCCCTGTTAATGGATAGACTTAACCTACTGTGAGGGAACATACTTACAAGCTTTATCCAATTTTTCAAAGTTGGATTCACCTGAAAGTATTGTCCTTCATTAGAAGTAAACTTTTCAAACAGATGACCCAGACTTTAACAGAACTTTAACAGTATTTTCCCTCCTGATGCTCTCCAAGTAAATACATTTGAACACTTGGAGATATGGTGCTTTACTAAATATATTTATTAAGTGGTCACATAAGAATTGCTAGTACAGACAGAGTTTGGTTTATTTCCTCAACAGTTCTATATGTAACTATTAAACCAACTATCAACAAAGGAAAATCTCTAACTTGAAGGTTACTCTCTTCAAGTGTGTATAACTGATGCCAGAATTTCAAGTAGGGTTCTATTTTAAAAGAAAAAGAGAAACTCTTCTGCCAAGCTGCAGCAATAATGGACAAGACTACTTGTCCTACATTTTGTTACCAAAAGTAACTGAGGGTAAAAAGCATCAGAACCTTAGACAAGAGCCCTTATGAAGATACAGAGTGGAGAGATTGTATTTGGCAAAAAAGTTCCCCCTCAAATGATCTATGACCAGGGCACGGCATATCATGCCTTTTTTTAAAACAGCTTTTTTTTAGTCTTTTTTCTTTTTTTTTTTTGTAAAAGATAATCACAGGTCATATACCTTACAGTGACAATCTCCTCTCTGAATATAATCAATGGGTACATATTAAGGTATATACTGGTACTTTCTAGTAGGAATTAAAAAAACAGAGCCACATTCTTGTAAAGCTCTTAATTTGTCACTTTCATTTTAACTATACAGAGCCTTTGTATTCAACCAGATTTAGCAGTGTCTTTGTATTTTGCCTTTAACGTTTTGTGAAATATAGGTGAATGCTACTGTCATACTATTTTAAATGCTCCAATGGGACTTTCTTGTATGTAACTCATTCTACAAGATTATGATCTTTCTGATTATTAATTTATCGGGATCTTTTTCTAAACAGTTTTGAAATGAAGTATTTTATTTTTTAAACTGTTTGGGGAGCCAACAGAATTCTTGCTGTGTATACCATTATGCTGTTCTCAGAAACATAAGTTGTCACGATTATTAGATCCTTAGAAGATGGAATTTGATCTCAGATTGGTCTGTCAGAGTCTGTTTTGTGGGCTATAATATTGCCAGGCCATTTGTAGGTTTGGTCTGATTTAGCTTTCTATTACGAAAGAGTATTTTGAAGTTTTGCAGTTATGTACATAGGAATTACACTACCCTAAAAGCTGTGTTTCTAGGTGACTACATGGTTTTGAACTAATTTCAGTGCTTTTAATAGTCAATTTCATCACTGTTAGTTGTGTCACAGCTTTACAGATGCTATCTTTACAGGATACGGTAAGCCATCCGTTACATTCAGATGCTACTGTGCTGCTGGAGGAAGCTCTTTCAAATTAAAACCACAGCCTCTTCCTCAGTTGGTCGAAGATGTTGGAGAATAGCTTCTCAGCTGTTTCAGCTTTAATAAATCCCAATTCAGTAAAGTTCTAACAATTCAATGATTGTAAATTATATACTAACTCAAACTGGACTTAAGCAGCCAGAGGGCAAATTTCATTTCCTGTTTTATTTTAAACACGAAGTCTCAACAATCAGTGTGTTCATGTTAATTATCTAAGCAATCTATCCAGTATTGCTTGCTTATTATCCAGTACTGCTTGGTTATGTAAAACTCAAGGAAAAACTCATACTGTCCCATGAGCAATGTTAAATTGGTCACTTTAGAAAGTGACACTGCTGAGAACTTGAATCCAAGTCAGTTCAATTCTTAACAGAAGAAAAGTTTTTCTGAGGCTAAATTATAGAACAAAAACTGTTTTTGTGGCATTGTGGTGAACTGTTGCTTCCTTCTAGAAGGCTGACTCTCACATACTTCACTTTTTTTAATGCTTATTTTCAGGTTTGTCTGTCTTAAGTCTATCACTTGTTTTTTATCTGATTTCTAATTATACCCAGCATGGTTTACAATATGAGCTATTGCCGTAGTATCAATCATTAGTCATTCACTTGGCACATTTGAGCACAGAAATTTTTGACAAATAGTTGTTTGTCTTGTTCTAGGTACCCTGGAAGTTAGGCTAATGGGCTGCCAAGACATCTTAGAAAATGTTCCTGGTCGATCGAAAGCCACATCAGTTACTCTACCTGGTTGGAGTCCAAATGAAGTCAGAACAACTTTCATGGGCAGAACCACTAAAGCTAAAGCTGGGATTAGTAAAAACCTTCTGAAAACTGATGACTTGTCCAGTTCAGTATACTTTCTACTTTTATGCTTATCTTTTATTTACATTTTAATATGCATGCTGTGTTTTGTAATTAGAAATACTAAATTGACTTGAAGCTGTAAAATTAGCTGTTCCTTCAGCTGTCAAGTTGTTATGGATTTAAAAATAGAAATAAAAAAACCTGCACTATTATGGCCGTAAGAGCCAATTAAATATGAGAGCTCTTTTTAAGGGAAACTTACTGAAGACCTCTTTGTTTGTGGAAAATCCTCTTATAGTTCTAAGCTGAGTTTGTGTACTTTACTTACAGATGAAGTCTGTGCTGTACTGAAGCTGGATAACACTGTGGTTGGTCAAACTAGCTGGAAACCTATTTCCAATCAGTCGTGGGATCAGAAATTTACACTGGAACTAGACAGGGTAAAGATGTAGTCTTACTTCATTGATATATATATATAGTTAATTATGTAGATTAAAGTAATGTTGCTTTTTATATATATGTATGTATATATGTGTGTGTATATATATATATGGGGTTTTATTTATTTATTTATTTACTTACTTACTTACTTACTTACTGTTGTGGTTAAGTTCAAAATATACGTATACAAATATTTTTGTCCTTAACACCAGGAGTAACCTGGAGGTAAGCTGATTTGCTGGGTTGCCATTCTACAACTTTGATCTTTCCTCGCTTACGAAGAGATGTAATGTCTTTTCCAAGGCCTAACACTATCTTTTTAGCCTGCAACAAAGGTGCTGAAATCAACCTTTCATTTATAAGGAAATTGTATCAAATACCATTCAGATATCTTGGCAAATCTAAATCATAGAATTTTTACAGTGTTTATCCATAATTATTACATGTTCTCAGGTGAAGCAGATCAGTTCTTATTTTTCAGGAATAATAAAATCACTAACATTTTTTTCCTAGAATCCTAAGTGTTATTTTGATGGACTTCAGTATTTGGAATGACACTTGATAACTTTTTTCCGTGTTCCTTTTGAAGAGAATTTCTGACATATATTTATAGGTACCTAATACTCATAGTATTTTAAGGGTACAAAGATATCTTTTTTTTCAATCAGTATAAAGTAGGCTAAAAATTAAACTTTGTTTTAGAAACTTAAATGGCATCTCAGGCATATATGTAATTTAAAAAAAAATGAATAAAAACAGGAAAAAACCACCCTACCTTCCTGGTTGTACTGACCAGTATTTCACTCTCACCACCCAACCTGTCTAAGCCAAGCCAAATCCCTTCCAGGGTGAAGTCAGAAGCAGATTTAGACCTGCAGCTAGAGAAATCCAGGTTCCTAGCAAGAGTGCAGAACAAACCTAGCAGTTGTGGAGTCCCTAACTTTTTGTGTATTATTTTCAGATGGCTTTTTAAGTGGCTTTTTGGTGCCGGAAAAGAATCTTGCTTCTGCTGGGTGTGGCCACCTATCATCCTCCTGTATTTCAGACCCATGTTCTCAACCCTATGATGTTTTTCTGTTACTTCCTCTTTACTTTTGTTTCCTTGAAAACCCACACCTCTCAGATAAAGAGGGTGAACTGATGCACTGTGGTGGAATTAAGTTTTGCCATCTGAAAATAGTACCACACAACGCTGACTCTGTACGGTGCACTGCAGGACTTTGCAGTTTGCAGCAAGTTTTGTACGGAGCTTATAAGGCACCTTAAGAATATATAATCCCACTGGCAAGATAGATGCAGTTCCTTTCATGACCATGTTGCAAAAAACTGCATGTATTCTTAGAAATGGTGTGTAAAGTCTTGAGGTACACATCATGAGGTGTACCAAACACAAAAGTGCCACTGTACAGCCATGACATTCAATTGATGCATGTATGTAATGTAAAAAATTAGCAAAGCTGAGCTTTCTAAGAACAGTTAAAATCTTATTCCCAGAGTTTAAGCTGTGAGGTATTGAACCAGTGCTTTTGCTGGACTGACTGAAAACTGGTGAATTTTTTTGACTTTTTCCTTCTATTCATGGGAATTTTAGTCTTCTTACTTGGATGCTGGAGATCACATTTGAACTAATGCAGAATGATGTATAGTCATCCTAGTGAGAGTTTGCTTGCTGTGGCCAGACAGCCATAAAAGCTCTGCATCTTGATCATGAAGCACTGGATCTTATGGTTTTGGAGAGGTAATTATTGCAGAACAATTACTACTAAGGAATTTCCTGTGTTTGCTTGCCATCATAGTCACGTGAATTGGAAATCTCAGTTTATTGGCGTGACTGGAGATCCCTGTGTGCAGTGAAGTTTCTGAGGCTGGAAGACTTCCTGGACAACCAACGGCATGGCATGTGTCTCTATCTTGAACCCCAGGGCACTCTGTTTGCAGAGGTAAGAGTTGTTCCTTCAAATGTTTGGGCACAGTTGCAAGTATTATCTTGCAGAGTAGCTTAACAGATTCTTTTCTTAAACTTTTAAGGATGCATTTTGTTCTGAAACTTGAATTATAACATACGTTACTTGAACTGCAGGTCACGTTTTTCAATCCAGTTATTGAAAGAAGACCAAAACTTCAGAGACAGAAGAAAATTTTTTCAAAACAGCAAGGTAATTGTTTAATACAAACATATAAAACTTTAAAATTATATAGGTATGTGATATTTTCATACTGAGATTTAATGTTTATTTATGAGTAAAGTTGTTGAAAATGAAGTATTTGGAACCTCACTAGGAAAATTTTTGTTCAGGAATTCCTTATTATACATTAGCACTTAATAGTGAGCAATTGTGAATTGTAAGGAGTACTTCAAATTGAGTTTGTTCTTCATAAACTAAAAATTGATGAATATGATTATTTTAACAAATTACAGACAATAAATGCTAATCAAGAAATTACTTGCACTTTCTTTTTTCACAAAATCCCTCAGGCAAAACATTTCTCAGAGCTCCTCAAATGAATATCAATATAGCCACTTGGGGAAGGCTGGTGAGAAGAGCTATTCCTACAGTAAATCACTCTGGCACCTTCAGCCCTCAAGCATCAGTATCTGCCGCAGTGCCAGTGGTTGATGCGCGCATTCCTGAACTGGCGCTGCCAGCCAGGTAGGCAACACCTGCAGTTTTTTAATGCTCTTAAGAGAAAGTAAAGTAGTAAAATGTTTATGCAAAAAGGTATGTAAAGTGAGTTTCTGCAACACTTAAGACCTTTCAGCATTCTATTTTGGAAATCTGTTTTGTAGACAGATGGTTCATAACATCCCATTTTAAGTTGGTTTTTATTAAACCTTTCTCTGCTGTATGCTGAGAAGTTATTTTATTCTCCTGCCAGTGACTCTCCTGTAGCCAAATTGGACTTTGAGCTGGAGCCTGAGCCTCCACCTGCTCCACCTCGTGCATCTTCCCTTGGGGAAATATGTGAACCTTCCTCTGAGATGAAAGCTCCTGATATGCCAGCTCAGGCAAGTAAAGTTGAAGTTAAGAATTTCAGGCTGTATAGTTTTACCAGGGTTGTAATGTTGATATCTTCATGATGGGCTTTATGTTACTATTTAGCATTATGCTCCCATAACTTACACATACAATACTGTCTAAACAGGATGCTGTGATTATCCACAGTGGCAAACTCTTTCTGTGATTTTTCATATGAGGAAAAAAGAAAGCCTAAAAATCATGGAAGTATTCAGGAAAATGTAGAGTTTTTGTTTGTTTGTTTTTTAAGAAAGAGCAGAATGACTGGAGAAGTAGATTTCATCATTCTGTTAAAGGCTTGTTTATATGTATCAACCTAAGGTATAATGTTTTAGCTTAGTTAATTCTTGTGTTAAGAACTCCATATGCTTAAGGTAAAAATTTCTGCATCTCTTTGCCTTAGGAATTTGTTCTAAATTTTCAGATGCTGTTTTCTTCACAGGATGATGTATCAACTTTTGATTTTGAGAATGGTAGAAATAGTATTGTTCCAAAACTCCAGCCTGGAATAATCTGTGAGTCTGATGTTCCACATTCAGACACAAAATACACCAACATTCGAGAACCTGAAGATAGAAGGTAAAAATGCTATGGTTTTCGTGTTGAATATGAATAACCTTTATTGAAGTCAGCTAACTGGAAAGTGTGTGTTTATTTACACAGAACACAACAAAGATTTCAGTTCAGCCTGAAGGACTTCAGATGTTGTGCAGTACTTGGCAGAGGACATTTTGGAAAGGTAAATGTGAAAAGGCTGTATCAGATGTCAGGGCTCTGTGAAAAACTGGATTTAAGTCTTAATCGTTTATCCTCTGTTTCAGGTGCTGCTGGCAGAATACAAAAACACAAATGAGATGTTTGCTATTAAAGCCTTAAAGAAAGGAGATATTGTCGCTCGTGATGAAGTAGACAGGTCAGTTTGTAAACATCATGCGTGGATTCTCTAAAGTAGTCTTTTTCTGCATGCAGCATGACTAAAAGCTCTACCAAACAGTGACTGCTTTCAGTGAAAGGGCAAAACAAATCTCCCTGTTCACTTGGCTGTTATAGACCTGTAGCCTTTCTTCTGGGGCAAGGAAGAAGCAGGACAGACCAGGAACACTGTTTATTTTAGTGCTTCTCTTACCATGCCTGTATTACAGCTCTGGCTTTAAAGCCAATCTTGTTTTCTATTCAGATTCTCTTGTAATCTTCTTGTTACTTCTAATTACTTGTTTTATAGAATTCCATTACATTCCAAGAGGACAGTGCCTATGCTTTCTTTGCTGGCAGAAATACATAAGATGATATTTCTCAACTTGTAACATATGTTATACTTTGTTCTTCATATTTTCCCTTGAATCTTATGTATACTACACTCATGTTAATCTTTGTCCAAGAAATAAGATTTTTCTCTGTATGGAAGTCAAATAACTTGGTTCAGCACAAGAAGGTGCTTCTACAGCTGTTCAATGACTGTTTATGTTGGAGAAAAATAAATAACTGTATTAAGAATAAGCTGACAATCAACTGCATTAAGGAAAGATAATCAAGAATGTTCATACATAGATACTACAATATTGTAACTTTTTTTGCCTATATATGTTATACATGATTAAAATGGATGCAACATGATCCTACATGATATTGACATGTACTAATTTGTTAGGAAAATGGGCAGGATTCTGTTTTCAGGGACCACTAAGTTGCCTTTTTTCACTTCTGAAAGACCAAATGCATCTTCTTGGACATCCTGACATCAATTTAATGTGTGGAAATATCAAAAGCTCTTTCCTGAAGAAAAATATTCTTGTTATCTTACTTGGAGGAATAGAGGGGGGGAAAAAGCATAAGATCTAAGTTACCAACAGTTTTCTGAGAGTTGAAATGTGGGTTCAGGATTCAGCTTTAGGTTTTACTGTTTTTGGTTTGTTTTTTTTTTTTCTATTTGCAGCTTGATGTGTGAAAAGCGAATATTTGAAACTGTGAATAGTGTAAGACATCCCTTCTTGGTGAATCTTTTCGCTTGTTTCCAAACCAAAGATCACGTTTGCTTTGTAATGGAATATGCTGCTGGTGGGGATCTGATGATGCACATTCATACTGATGTCTTCTCTGAACCAAGAGCAGTGTGAGTATCCACCCCTCTTTGTGGCAACAGTGGAAGGGCATTTTGTTGTGTTTCACTGGGCAAGAACTACGGTATTGCCTCATGCCTCTACCTTATATCATTTCAGAAAATACTACTGAGTTTTTTAAAGGGTAGATACTGATATTATTTTTAATTAAAAAAACATGCATGCAGATTAAGTGTTCCTGAATCTAAGTTGAATGCAAATAATGGCGTACAGATATTTTATGTTTATAATACTTTTTTTTTAAAAGATTGCATTAAAAAGATTAAATCAGAAGTTAAAATAAGATGTAAGGCCAAAAAATAGAAGGAATAAGAGAAATGAGAAATCCTTCAGTGCCACAATGGTGAACCCTACAGAAAAGTTATCCTTCAGGCCAAGTAAACATACGTACAGCTTGCAAGTTTGAACATTATTGACATTTGAGTTTCAAATTCTGACCCTGTATAAAATTAATCAGTACCAGAAAATGCAAACCATAATTTTCAGAGGATGGCTAATAAAAGAAATGCATTATGATGAACTTCATATTCTGGAAAGCAAGACTCAAATCCACTGAAACTTCAAATTTCTACTCTTTCAACAGATTCTATGCTGCATGCGTTGTTCTTGGACTTCAGTATTTACACGAACACAAAATAGTTTATAGGTGAGTGGTCACTGACACATTTCTGACAGATGTATTTCAGTAACTTCAAATATTACTAAAGAAACCTTATTTTCAAATGTTCATGTAGAGATTTGAAGTTGGATAACTTATTGCTGGACACAGAAGGCTTCGTGAAAATAGCTGACTTTGGTCTTTGCAAAGAAGGTAATGGCTCTTCATTTACGTATTTATTTATTTATTTTAGGGAAGTTCCATCAGCTTTCTTACTTGCTCTTGACTGTTCCATGTATACTTTGTATTTTGATCTGGTACCGTTTGAAGGAAAAATACATCTCAATACAATTAGGGGAGAAAGAAGGAAGTTCTTTAGTGGGGAATTTAAGTTGTGAGAAATAGCTCACAGCTGATTCCTACATCATCATGTGCTCTAAAATTCTTTTCCTTATTCTAAACCAAAGTTGGCACTGTACAGTGAAGTCAAGGTATACCTCAATTCTTTTTTTACTCTCAAATAGTTGCACAACTCTTAGTCTGTCATGCCTACATACTTAGTATATTAGCTAAAACAGGAAAATTTATTCCAGAAGGGAGGCCGAGAGGCTAGAAAAGTAACTTTCAAGCATCCAGCTTGAAGATGTAAGATAATTTGTCTGCATTGAGAAAAGTATCTTTCTCAAACCCCAAAAGGAGGGAAGACATGAAAAGATCCATCTCCTTTTTCAATTAGTGTAGTCTGTCCCCAAAATATTTCATTTCTAGCCAGCCTAAGAGGGAAAGGAATTTTCTAAGTAGGTTTAATAGGTACTCGGGCATTATTAAAAACAACAATATCCTTGAGCAAGTTGTGTCACTTCAGCTAGAATTCTATAAATGACAAGGAAACAAGGACTAGGAATGCTCTGTGGCTTACTGACTACTGCAGGAAAGCATTTGCTGCAATAAATGCTCTGTACAACACCTCCACTGTCACATCAATGCTTGTGGTGCTCTTTTTAATTGTGTCCCTCCTGCAAATATACAGCTCTTATGTTGCTCAAAGTTGTTTCACTACACTTCATGTTTAACTTTATTTATAGGTAGCTTTGCCATTGCAGAAGCATTTGCAACGGGCATATTTGGCTGAAGTAGGGCACAACATTTTTCACAAGCTAAGATTGATTGTATCTTTCCAAGAAAGATAACAGTGACATAAGTGTAATTGGAGGCTTAATTTGGCTCATTGTGTAGAGTTAGATATAGAAAAGCTTATACAAAAGCACACTTGGAAGAAGGGCATGGGAGGGAAGAATATGGGAATGTTTACTTAACTCATTAGAGTGAGTTTTCAGGACAGATCCCAGGACCTCAGCATCACTTAGCTGAAGTTGTGTTAGAGAGGTTTTACTTGCTAAAGGAATAATTTGTGGAGGTGCAGAAACTTGCTTGCTTTTCATTAATTGTAACCTTTCAGGAATGGGATTTGGAGACAGAACAAGCACATTCTGTGGCACACCAGAATTCCTTGCTCCAGAGGTGCTGACAGAAACTTCCTATACGAGAGCTGTAGACTGGTGGGGTCTTGGTGTCCTTATCTATGAGATGCTTGTGGGTGAGGTACGTTCCAGTAAGATACAACACAGTCATAATAGTGTATGTTACAAAATTCAAAACATTGGCCTGTGAAACATTTAATATGCCCTATACAGAACAGTTCTATTGATAAACAATATATAGAGACATACCTAGTTTTAGACTGAACATCTTCAAGGTTCATTAAGAAAAAAAATAGGAACTATTTAACTGATACTAGCTGTTCCTGCCACTGCCAAAATCGATTAGTCATGTTATGGACCTAACAGAGCAGCTGGAAGCAAATGGGCCATAGTTGGTTCAAGACTTAACTTCTGTTTTTGTTTGGTTTGCTTCTAATTACATCATTATGCCTTAAATCAAATTATGGTAATGACACGTTAATATCAGTGTCTCCAAGCAAGAAAATGGTACATTTGGTTTGGGTGAGTTCAGTATTTAGCATGCAGGGCAGAGCAATAACAACTTTTATTGTCAAATTTGGCTGCATAATGCTAGAGTAGTCGTCTTTTTTCAGATGTCTGAGTTTGAAAAATCAACTCCTTAACTCCTGTAGCTTGAATGGAAAAAAACGTTAATTCATAGAACTGGGTAGTAGTGAAAGATGCTGAAGTTACTGATTATCTGAATCTCACATTAGAACAGAATGCCCCAGTTCTGTATGAATGAAATGTATAAAGAAATTATTATTGAGTAGTTACTTAGACCTGAAGGCCAGGCTATGTATGCCATGCTATGTTGTTAGAGTTATCACCAGAGTAACGTGGTGATGGCTTACATACTAAAAATGTGGGGGGAAACTGAAGATTTATTAATCATTTTATTCTTTTTGAAACAAAGATAGCTCCTGTCAGGTTTTTTCAGGAGGAAAAAAAAAGAGGACAAAAAACTTGCAAGGCCACTCTAAAGCAGAAATATTCCTAAGCTATAACATGGTAAAAATACAAACCAACCTTTCATGTATTACTTGTGGGTGGTAGCTGTCCCAACAGAGAGCCTTCGACATTTCCTATCTTGTGTCAAGAGTTCAAAAAAACTGAGTAGTTACAGGTTTTTCTGCTTTTAAAAACACACTTTTAAAGCACAGTCCTTTAGTTTAAACAAAAAAAAAAAGAGGGATAACAACTTATTTTCTCTCTTAGTTATGGAAAAGGATTGTGTATTTCCAGGGAAAGGAAAGCTTCAGTTTAGGAAGACCAGCTCTAAGCTGTCAGCTGAAAATGTTGCAATTTTTTTTTCCTTGAACTGTGAGTGATTTTTTTAAGCCTGTTTAGTAATTGTGGGATTTATTACTTTGATCATAGTCTCCTTTCCCTGGAGATGATGAAGAAGAAGTGTTTGACAGTATTGTAAACGACGAAGTAAGATATCCACGATTTCTGTCAACAGAAGCCATCTCTATAATGAGACGGGTAAGAAATTAAATTAATTTCAAAAATTAGTGTTTCCCTCTTGTCTTACAGAATTTATAACTTTCATGAAGAACAGAATACTTTTAAGAATATATACTCATTTTTTTTCTACAACTAAATTTCAGATTTGTTTCATTTATGCTGTGCCATGCCATCACCCAGTTTCATTTTAAAAGAAAACTCAGTGCCTTCACTTTCTTATACAGGAGCAAGCTTTTCTTACTGCAATGTAAAACACTTATTGCAATGTAAAAAAGAGCTCTATTTTCTTCTAGAACTAAGTCTCATCATCCTATCTAACTAGAGAAGTTCAGGTTTCTTTTTCTTACAGAATACTGTTGCACGAACTGACTTAGTAGCTTAACATAGTCACATGAATATTTTAATTCAAAGACTTCTAGCCCTTTTGGTTTCATTCCAACTGGGGCAGGGAACACCATACCTGCAGCATCTACAGAGCCCCACTCTTCTCAGAGAACAGCTGATTTTTTGATTTTTATTATTGTTATTCCATATTGTAATGCCTCTACTTCAGACTTCTAACTTCTTTAGTGTCTGAGTTAGAGGCTCATCTCAGTTCACAGAAGGGCAGTTCTTGGAGCTGGTTCAAAGTCTGACACTGAGTATTGTTAGTCAAGCACTCAATTTAGGAATAGGCAGTAGTGTGTAAGTTAAAGCATGTCCCAGTAAGTACTGTTAATAATTATATATGATAAAGCAGAAATACTCTGTAGCTCAAAATGAGTGCTTCCTCCCAGGAAGGGGATTGTTTTTTAGAGAAAGAAAAAACAAATACTTTTAAGACAGTCCCAAAAGAAGGTATGCTACAATGGAAAAACAAAGGAAGGAACCTATTGCCCATTGAAGTACCCTCATCAGATTTGTTCTCTTCTGAGCCAAGCAAACAGAAATTTTAGCTTAGGTAAATTCTCTCTCCTCTCCATCAAAAAGTGCACTTTCTGTTACCTGTGCTGAACATTATCCCCAGAGACTACTTCAGGTACTAAGATATTACAGAGCAGATTTGCAGAGTAAGAGAGGCAGGTCTGCTCAGTACACATTGTAGGCTGCCTGTATAATCTGTAAGGTTCAACTGACACTAGAGGAGAAATGTTCTCTCTTTCTACATAAAATTTCATATGTACCTTTCTCTGAGGACCATGAATTTTCTGAGTTGGGCAGTATGAACTTCATCCATCCATCCAGTCTCAGTGTTCACTGTTATACAGTAGTACTCATCCCTCATTCCTCTCACTACTTCTGAATTTTCACTCTTAAATCTTTCTTGTTTTTGTCAGCTGCTACGAAGAAATCCAGAGCGACGTCTTGGAGCTGGAGAGAAAGATGCTGAGGATGTAAAAAAGCATCACTTCTTCCGGGTGAGTAGAAGCCAGCATTTTTTTTTTTTATAGGGACATAAAGGAACAGAGAGGGGAAACTGAACACCAGTTGGTTTATTTTGCAGCTAATAGACTGGAATGCTTTACTGGCCAAGAAAGTGAAGCCTCCTTTTGTACCCACCATTAGAGGAAGAGAAGATGTTAGTAATTTTGATGATGAATTTACCTCTGAAGCACCTATCCTCACTCCACCTCGGGAACCAAGGATACTTTCAGAAGAAGAGCAGGAGATGTTCAGAGATTTTGATTACATTGCTGATTGGTGTTAACTTCTAGACACTGTGAAATCCTAGCTGACTGGCTCACAAGAATGCCTCTCTCAGAAGAATACCGCCCCTCCAATTGCTCTCTGTGCCACCTGTAGCTTCTGTTTTGTTTTGGTTGGTTTTTTTTTTTTTTTTTTAAATCACATGAAGATCCTTTTTAAGTACTGTTCTAACACTCTTGTGAAGAGTGGCCTCTTTGTATATTGTTTTTTATCTGAGCACTGGAAAGCAGTTCTATGGAGTTCGTAAGCTGAGTGGGTGAATTCAGGCTGTACTGAGCTTATCACACGTGGGCACACTTGGATCTGTACTGTTTCTCTCACTCTTCTACAGCAGATAACATTTTTAAAGTATCTGCCTTAGGTGGGAAAAGCAGACTTTGAGCTAGTAATCACGTAATGCTACTCAGCCACACAAAATAGAAGTTTGTGATACTGTTGATGCTCACGCAGAACATGGTTCTAGCTGGAGAAGGCAAATGATTTCAGTTAAATATCTTGTGTGGTCTGTAAAACTACACATTTCTATGTACACCTTCCTCTTGTGTTCTTAAAATAATGGTGTTGAGAACAGATAATGCCTTGTTTTATAAATTTTCTATGGTATTTATTAGGAAAAATGTTAAATGCCTTGCCTTCGAGATAACAACAGCATAAGTGCTTCCATGAAAAATAAAAATCCCAAAAAACCCAGGAAGTTTACCAAAGCCACTTGCCAAACAGTTTTGCCTTCAAGCTTTTTAAGTACGGCTTAAACCTCTGGTTGAAAAAAAAGAACGTAACAAGGATGTTGCTCAGTCTAACCATAAAGAGCAAAGCATATACATCTCCCAAGCCCAACCACTTCTATACTCAAACTCATGCCTTTTCCACTCACCAAGTGGAGGATAAGTTAACCATTCTGTATGTAACCACCCAGCTCATCCTGTATCTGCTGTACAATATCGTATCACCATTAGGAAACATAAGGATTTTCAATGTATACATGCTGTGAACATGTATATTTGGAAGTTGTAATGTATTCTTACGTCCAGGCAAGTAATTTAATTATACCACTTCATTAATTTTGTACAGTGGCCATGTGAACAACATTGAACTTTGAGTAAAAAAATATTCATATGGGCCGCTGAATTCCAGAACTTAGATTGGCAGTTAGCAAGAGTAAAAGCAATATGTTGTAACAGAATGTATAAATATTTTTGATAAAAAAACTGTATATTTTATAAACCTCCTAACACTAAAAGCTGTACCTCAAAAGTTGAACAATAATTTAGACCTGACACTGTGTACTTGTTATCCAAGACCTGTTGTGGTACCTGGTGTTTTGCAGGCAAACATGAATTCTTAGAAAATAAATTTCCCATGTCACCCTTCATTCTAGCACCATTCAGAACTTGCGTATTCAATCTCACAGGTGTATCCTGGCCAAGAGTTTGCTGTTGGTGGGCTAAGATAGGGAGTATCAGCACTGAAATGAATTAAAAGCTTGTAATTGTAATCATGCAAAGCTATAGTGGAAACCACTAGACAAGGAGGTGGTGGTTTAAAATCACGATGCTGGACAGACCTGCAGGGTCAGGCAGAGGAAAGGCAATAGGGAACAACGGTTAATTGTTCTAAACTGGGCTTCCCCCACCCCAGGAAGCAGGAAAGGCATCTTTACCAACTCCAGAAATCATGTTAGGAGGAGTGAATGAACTTTTCAGCAGTTTCCAGCTTAAGAAACAAATTACGTTCCTGTATCTAGCTGAAACTAAATACTTTTGAGGTACAGTCAGCTTACCCCCTTGGTTTCCAAATATATATATGAGCATCTAACAGGGTGCTTAACAATTATGAAAGTATCCTGAAAAATACCTTTTGTAACTACATCTTGTACAGAAATCTCTTTTTTAATCTAAGTACATCTCTTAAAAAATAGAGGGCAGGGTATGTTCACCCAGTTAAGCTGAAAGAAAGCACTAATTTTATCTCTGTAGTTTTAAAATATTTTTAGGCAGATTAAGATTTTAAACCCTAGATTGTAAATATATTTTGCTATACTTTATCTGTATGTGGCTGCTCAAGCACTTTGTAAGGAAATTAGGATATTTTAGAATGGTACACTATGCATTAAAATGAAATGTGCCTTTAACAATGTCATTTTAAGTGTTTTGCAGTCATTAATATCACAAATTAAAGTTTTAAATAGAGTAATTTGTAAATTGTGTCCCAAACATGATTTTGCTGTTTCTTGAAGTGATGCCATGTTTTTTCCCCACGGGTTACTTCAGAAAAGAACTTGCAAACAGGAGGCAACTTACAGAAAACCAGTCTCTTAGTGGTAGTTCAGTGTGCTCCCATTTTTCCCCTCAAGTCCAAATAAATAATCAACTCTGAACATACCTTCTTTCGAAGGAAAGTAGTTGTCACATTGGGATGAGCAATCCTTCCAAAGGGAGCAGGAAAAGATCACAAGCTGGACAGCTTGGCTCTGCATTCTCCCCTCACGGGCTTCTTTTAAGGACAGGGGGAGACAGCACTCACTCCCTCCCTCCTGGGTATTTCTTCATTACTGCCTTTTTCCCCCATTATATACAGCAGTTCTGTAAACAAATAACCTGCACATAACCAACACTAAACCTGTTCTTTCTGCAGGAATGAAAAGCTTTCTTTTCTGAGTACACTTAGAAAATAAATCTTTACTCACCACTCTTAAGAATGAGCTGAAATTTCAAGAGGCTACTGCCTAGAGCCACCTCACTTGAATGCTTAACTAAGCAGACATTCCAGAAAGGGCTAGATCCAAACGAAAATACAGTTTTAAATATCTAGTGTAAATCGTAGTGAAATAGGAAGCACCTAAAGATACTATGCCACATTCTTTGCTGTCTTGTCCCAGGCTCAACACAGAGCCAGCTCCCAGCAACACCACTGGCTTCTCAGCAGGGACACCTGCACCCACCAGCATCCCAAACTGCACCCACCCTCCTTCCTCTGCTTGGGTTCTGCTCAGCATCCAGGGGGCAGTCACCTACCAGGCTGGAAGCCCAGGGTCAGAACTCTCTTCTCCCTGTAAATACTCCCAAACCCAGATGCTAAGGTGTCTTCCCATTAGCAGAATACCCAACTACACACAGATCTTTCTTTGGAAACCAGCAGTACTGCCATCATTCCCTTCATGCCATAGTATCATGGCTCATCCTGCAAATCACCCCACTATCCCCTTCACTTGATACTTTTATTTAGTGAACAGAGAAAGCAGTCTCTTGTCATCTAACAAGTGAGCTGCACCTAACTCAGTGCTCAGATTGTCCAAGAATAGGTTCTATTTGCTGTTTTTAGAAAACAATTACTTGAACTTCCAAGTTGCTGCTACAGCTTGCAGTTCTTAGTGGAAGATCATCTGATCTTGCCCTGTTGTTAAAGCAAAGGGAAGATAGTTGAGCAAATGTGCCTGTTCTCTGTCAGGTCACTGCACGCAGAGAGCTGGCACCCATGCTGCACCTCAGCCTGAGAAGACCACGAGCTACTAGGGCAGGTTCTTCTCCAAGTTACATCACAACCAGGCTCAAGACTCAGGAGAAAATTTATTACAGAAAACATCTCTTCAAAGTGTCACTATCATCTTCATGCCTGTACCAATACTTCAGTTTACAGCAACTGTGTGAGCCCCACTTCAAAGGCAAGAAACTTCTGACTTAAATAAAATGTAAGTATGACAGCTACCTAGCAAGCACAGTAGCTTGCCAGGTGCGTATATACAAGTTTAAATTCAAACAGAAGAGATACATTTATTTCTTGTGGTTTTAAGTAGACTTAGGATGCCACCAGACATTCAAAGACTGCTTTTCCAAGGAGCCAGAGTGTCACTTACCTGGAGGACAGGGGCAATTACAAAGGCTACAAGAGTGCAGCAGAGCTCCAAGAGGCTTGACCTTATTTACAAGACAAAAACCTTGTCTCCTTCAAGTCACACCTATCACTGCATCCAGAACTGCTGTTGCACCATGCGCACTGCTGAGACATGCTCGAGCCAAAAACACACACAGCTCATCGGTGAAGGAAAAGCTTCTGTGAGAAAAGCAAAGTCCTCCATGAATCAGCACACTAAAGCATTAATAACGGCACAAAAATGAATTCAAAGTTATAGGATTTTTTTCCCCTGGAATGCTTTACAAAAACCAGTCAGCTTAAACCAGAAGTAACCCATTTTCAGAATATACAGCACCCCTTATATTCCTTGTTGCACCACTTCAACCTACACAGTCTATATGACACCATCTCTACATCAGAGGTGTACACAAGCTACCTGCAGAACTGCAGGGAGAGGCAGGGTCCAGCCAGGACAGCGTATCTCTGCCTCTCTACACTCTAGAGCTTTGTAATGTTCCTTTTAAATATCACCCCACATAGCTTTTGCTGCATGTAAAAAATTCAAACTGCACACACTCACTGCTCACATGTCAAGTGCTTATTGCCAACGCCTGAAAGCATTTAAAATAGGAGCATTCCTTTCTAAACTGCATGTAGTAGTTTTAACATACTGACACATGCTGAAAAATACCCCTGCTGTACACTTTCACCTCTGCATTTCCAAACTATAACACTAAGGTACAACCCCATCCATTCAAAGCATCATGCCTGCTCCTAAAGGAGTTAGCCTGAGAAGCTCAACGTAAGATGGGGAAAGCCCAGGTAACAGAATTCGCTGTAATGAAGTTTATGGAAAGATGCGACATGAGAACACAATCCCTCCAAACTACCAAGAACATCACCTTTCCCATCTGTAGCAGAATCATTTTTCATGACTGCAACCAACAGCTTCAGTGGTATAAAAGAACTGAATAGCCTTTGTTATTTGTCCACAGTAAAAACCTTAAGCTGCCACATGTCAAGCGGCAGAATAGGATTAAAACAAAACTATCAAGAAAACAGTGAGGGCTATTAAAAATCAGTGCTATTAGCACCAGACACAGAGCCCTCCTTCTGGATGGCTTGGGACCAGATGCATAGCAAGCTGACCTCTACAGCTGTTCATTTTGGTAATTAAAATGAATTTGCACCTGTGATGCAAAATTAACTTGGGAACCAGAAGACTTCCAGTTAAGCACATTTGTTGCTTTACACACAAAGAAACACTGTCAAAACACAGTTACTTTTCAAAGCTATTATAGTTAGAAAAGGGCTGAACAACTTCTGCCCTTCACTTCTTAGCACTTGGTGCACAATTCCAGATGAGTTCAGCACTCACACAGAACCTAACAGTGGCAAAAGCTTAACCACTGGCCAGGCAGACGGCAAGGTGGAAAGAACATTTCACAGTAATATCAGGATGATTATTATTGTTTTTTAACCTTGCTTTTACAGTATCAAGCATCACACAGTTGTCAGAAATTCAATTCAAGTCTTTATCTTCAGCTGCTTTGTCATTACATAAAATTCGGAGAAGCAAAGCACAGAGACATCAGTGAAAATCAAGGAGAGGCTGTGCCAAGGACATGGCTGATCTTTTCAAAGCAAGTCTGGAGAACTTTAGCAACAGTTACACAAATATTCAAACTGCTTTTCACCAAAAGTTCGCATTCTGGCTCAAGTCTTCCCTATTGCAGATTGCAGCTAACTGCATATATTAAAGCCACACTAAAGATTAGTTTTTAAGATTAAAAACTGTCACAAAGGGGAGTCTTGTGACAAAATCTAAGGAAGAAGCTATCTCAACCATTCCAGTGATTGCATTCCAGTTCTCCATTTGTGGAAAAGTATGTGTGTGTCAAATTGTAGTGACATCCACAAGATCATAAGTGTTTTTGGAAAAGTTTATTTGGGAATTACATAGTATTTTCAATTTTCCAAAATACATTTTACTAGATCCCTACAAAAGAAATCTGAATAAGTACAATAATATGAAATTAAGTTTGTTGCAACAGTCATTAAATATTTACTTCCACTAATATATACATACAAAATGCCACACAATTAGCTTGTTTACCCTTGGAATGTGTGCTGCATTCCAGCAGTTATGCTCAAATATCCATATCCTCCAGTTCCACAACATGAAGACTCAATATTAACACTTTGTACATCCTTTATTATAGGCCAGAATCTTTTTGTTGTTGTTGTTATTAGAAATTAAAGTAACCTTCAGCAACTTCACAGCTGTGGTAGCTTGTCTACTGGAGTATCGAACTTGAAATCTGCTGGGAAGAGATCAGGAGCTCGAGGATAGATGAGCCTGTATGATTGTCTGATCGTAACATCAGCCACTCCAGCGATATCACCAATTTCTAAGACAAAAAGCAGACAAATTAATAACGCTTTTTAATTTTTGCTGTTTTTACCGAATAAAACAGCATATCTTTGTTTGGTCTCTGCTGCATGCCATTGGAACAGCAGCTTCCAAGTCTACAGAAAACATGAGTTCTCTTTTAAGCAATAAAATGTTAAAGAAAGTTTTACCTTTTTGCGTCCTTTTCTCTGCAGAAGCTTGTGATGCCATATAAATAGCTGCAGCTGCTACAGAAATAGGGCTTCTCCCAGGAACCAAATCTAATTCCACAGCCTTACGGGCAATGTGTGTTGCTGCCATTTGTACTTGTTTGGGAAGACCCAGATTTGAACAGAATCTTGACATGAAGTCTCCAGTTGTAATCAGATCAACACTGGTTTCAAGGGCTTTCAAAATAAGTTTAAAACACCGACCTATTTCCTTCTTTGAAATCCTGGACACCGCACATATTTCTAAATAAAGAGGAAAAAATAAACTTCACATTTGACAGTATTTTCTGCCCGAAAATATCTGGATTTGATTATATGTAGGTTAACGCCACAAAGCAGGCCAATGTGATGAAGGCCACTGCACCACAAGCTTTGCACATTAATGAAACTTCAAAATCATTTAAGTCAGTTCAAACTTTTCATGAGAAGCTAAAAAATACAGATTGCTTAATAAGGGAGATCTGATACTCTCAAAGTTGTCCCCTCATCAGGGAAAAGACGCACATACTTTCTGCAGAGCTGTTGGCTCAAATGCAGTTACAAGAGTCCCCATCTTCATCAGATCAAGCAGCATCTTAAATCTCACCGATACTCAGAATGAATCTCAAATGCCAATTTTAAAATATATTATCAGCAAGAATCCCATGCCTGAAAGCCTACTCACATTATGAATGTAGCAAACTTTTTGCAGACCCAACTTCTCCTCCCCAGGCCCAAAGAAAGGTGGGCTTTCACAGCAAACAACCAATTTGGCAAAATCCAGACATCTGAAAACTAACATCCTATAATAACAATGACACTTCATAGCAAAATTGAATCTGTACCACTGAAAACTTACCTTTAAATGTTCTTGGAACACCTTCTTGCCTACAAGCTATGTAGAGACAAGCAGAAGCTATAGCATCATTACTCCTTCCCTTCAGGCTCTTCTGCTCATACACTTGCTTGAATAAATTATTTGTTCGATCCTTCAAAGCAAGATGATTAAATTTAATTAACTCTAGGCCATTTAATTAGCAGCAATATCAAAAATTCATGCGCCCATTATATTATGCTAACTCAGTCAATGCCAGAAAAATTTAAGACGGAGACATGAACTTACAACTATATTTCTAGGGAGGTTGATTCTGTCTGCCATGTTTGTAATTTCTTTGAAGGCGTTCATCATTGCACGATCAGAGCTACTCATCGTTCTGCGATTTTGGTACTTTGAATTCCCAAATTCATCAAAACTTGCTGCACCTGTGCCCTGAAAAAAATATATATACACATAGTCAATAAAACAGTCAACCTTTTCCTCATTTCAAGAGCAAACATATTCCAGCTTTATAAATCCTAACAGATTGGAACATGCAAGTGTATGTGACTGAAGTAAATCATAAAACTGAGCCTTGTCCCAAACATCATGCTCTATATTCTGCACAAGTCTTAAAACATTAGCTGATTTCCAAGGACCACTGATTATGTGAGAATGAAATACAAATAGCATGTAGCCAACATGCATCTGTCATTGTGCCTAATACCAATGTTCAGGTCCAAGATTATGTTTTCTGTATGTCAATTAGGCTGACTTTGCATCACAGCAGATATAGCCAATTCAAAACAATTTTATGACCAACTGGAAAGCAACTGTTACAATAACAACTCAAAAATGGAAATAAAAGCATAGGCAAAGAGACTATCCAAACCAATGACCAATTCAAAACTAACGTGATGCTTTGCCTGCTAGCAGCAGCAAGCATTAGTTGTGGCAAGATGTAAAAATCCATATATTCTGCCCTTACAATAAATCCAAGGGCCTCTTTAAGGAAAATCCTGAAGTCCTCCTGATGAGGTTGTATCCACCTCATAATCTGATGGCTACCTCTGTTGTTGAGACCCACATCCGACATGTGCACACTTTGGTACTGCTGTGAAAACGTAAGACCCTGACACAGAAACCCCTCTCACAAGTTTCCCTATAGGCTGGCCCTTTAAACAGGCCTATGTCAGACACTAGAACCCAAGACTGTTCTTGGCTTTTTTCCTACTCCTTCCAGCACTGGTACCAGTGAAAGAACCACCTACAAACAACCATGGCACCAACACAGCAGAGGGAGCACCGAAGGCAATCCTAGTGACTTGACTGGATGAATCCCTCCAACTACCCAAAGGTTGCCAGAGAGTCTTAAGGGGAAACAAAGAGCAAGAAAGCACAAAAGACTTCAGGCCTCAAAGAGCTTTACAAACATACCTTCAGCGAGACTTCCCTTTTAGAAACTATCCCAAACAACAGTCCTTGCCTAAGATACACGTCTCAGGTCAAAAGGCTCCTTTCCTGGTCATCACTCATATCCCTGCTGCCTGTGATGTTCCCTGCAGCACTCTTGTGTATCATAGCTTCCTGCACCAGCGCTGTGCACAAATACTTAGAGGAACGGTATTTCCTCAAAATCTTGTAGCTGCCAGGGAAATGACCACAAAGGCCCATCATTTTTGGCAGTAAGTTCCCAGGCCCTGTGTCCAGACCTCACACTGGGTGTCCCTTCTTTTCCAGGAAACACTGCTCTGTTCAGAAGCCACCAAGCATTCCCCTTCACCACAGAGATCTTACTTTCCCTGGTCCATTATACACAGCACCTGAAAGATTTCACTATTTTGTAATTTTCTCCTCTATCTCCTCGTTTTTCACTTTCTCAGCCATTACTTTTCCCTTTGAATGTCTGCTTACATACATCAAACTACCAACACAGCTGTACACAAATACTATTAGTCAGAGGATTTCACACTGCCAGCACCTTCCAAGAGCAACCCCAATATACAACAGCTCACAACTATAAAAGGGTTGGAAAATACTCTTCCATTTCAACTGCTTAAGTTAAACCACAGCAGTTCTCCTGCATTTGCTATTTAAATGCATCATCTACTTTCCTTCCAGATCATTCAATTGAGGGACAATGCTTTGTTGGCTTCAGTTCTTCACAACCATGTTAGGAAGTACCTTTTCCTGCATGGAAAAAGAACAGAAGCCCTGTAGTTTTAACTGAAATCTAATTGTTTTTAAGAACTACGTCTCTTCTGGCTGTTGCCTCCATGAGCTACCTATTTGTAATCTTTAGAAGTTCAGCAAAAAACATGTTGAAGTCAGAAATTTCACCTTTTCAGCTTCCAAAGACCAGAAAAAACATAACATATTCCTTTATATTCTAGTCCTGAAAACTGATTAAAAGATAGCTAGAGTCAAAATACACAGTGCAGTAAACAGGGGTGATCTCTGGAGGGATTTAATGGAAGGTAGGTGTTGGCTTCCAACAGTTTGCACCCTGGTATATCCTCTCCCTTAAGAGCAGAAGGGAGAAGCCATCACCACTGACTGGAGGCTATGCACAGCATCAAGGAATGCACCCTCACCACGCAGAAGGCTTGCCCAGTACAACCTGCTCATTATGTGGTCTGGAGGTAACCATGGATCCTTTCTTCTTTTACATTCATCTCACCATTACTTATCAATACAGCACTTTCAGATACAGGCCACACAGTCTGACAACACCCAGCTTTCTTTCAGAGCCATCTGATCAAAGGATAGAAATTCTATACCAAAAGTATACATTAGTTTCCTGTTCAACCAACCTACGTTCTCTCATAGTCACTACAGAAAGGAATAAATTAACAATAAAGCATAACAAAAGACAACTTTTCCCACAAGATCTGTAGCAGAACTGCAAGTTTTCTTTTAGATTCCAAGAAAATACACTCGGTAAGTAACTGGCTCTTCTCTTTCTCTTGAATTTTGCATGAAATACCCATGATAGTTTGACAATTGAATCACAACTAATGCCAGACCTTGCCATGTCTCCAACTGATCTGCACTATTATCAAGTGAGTTGCAGCATGTTAGCTACTTGCAGAGAAATACAGTTCTGTGTCAACACCCTTAAAATCCTCCTGAAGAATGCAAGCCACTTCCACCACAGCTAACTACGCCACTCAACTTCCTCTTCACAAATTAATCTTTCATCCCACACAGGCTTTTGCTACCTCAGACAAATGGGTCTCTGGTACGAAACTGTACTAAATTGGTACTAAAACCAATTAGGAATTAATCTCTTTTACAAAGGCAAAACAACTTCTCTTTGGCTATTAGAAGGTAAAGAATGTATTTCTGCAGCAGAAAGGAATCCCAAAGCAGTACCTCTCAGTTTCAAAGAGGAAACTATGAGAAGCCATTTTGCAAAGCAGAACTGACCCAATCCTTTCTTTCACAATTTAAAGTCCTGTTCTAACTGGCATGTGGTTTGGACTCCGTTTTCACCTACACACATCTTTGTAGATGTAGGTGCCTTCTATAATATCCCATGAAAATAATTCATCTTCACTTTTGAATTTTCCACAATGTAAGTTTTACTTTTATTGTTCCAGCTGGCATCTTAGCTTGTTTGTTTAAACAATCCTACTAACAGCAGCTCTACCCCAAGTAGAAAGGAGCTTCCCATCCAACAGGAAAGAAATCTTAGGCACATAGATCTGGAGTCCCCTCCAGGCCATTCAAATTCTAATTGTTATTAACCAAGAAAATATAATCTTATCCTGCTTCACTGTCTGGAACTCATGAAGGCTGTTCTTTATTCTTTCAGATACCACTTATCTTCCACACGACTACACCAATCTCACCATTATTGAAACACCTCTTACTTTGAGGTTAATTCTCGTGCCCAACTACTGTTGGCACTGACTTCAGAACACTGCTCAAGAAACTGGCTGATCTCTTGGTTCAGTTATTTTTGCTGCAGAACTCACATCCTTTGCGCATCGATAGAAAATTTCTTCATAACCTTCTGATAAGCTGTTCTCTTTCTTCCAAATAACTGAGGAAAAAGGCAGCTCCCAATGCTCACAACATCCAGAGCCCCTGTGCAGTGGCAACACAAACACAGGAACTCTTGTCCAGAACACATCCTGGTTTGTCACAAACAACTTCCTGTAGAAAATAACGTCTGTTCTTTGGTTCATTCCCTTGCAAGCGAAATACCTGCAGCAGGACAGATTGTCCTCTGAAATTCTCCCTGGTAGCTCTAATATTTGGACGTTTTCACTCACAGTTGTCATCAGTCGTGCCTCACTGACAAGCCTGCAGCTTGCTATTCAGAGAATATGACCTGCTACAGCTACTTCAGTCCTGTCTATTCAAGGATATTCTAGTTAACAGCAAAGCTATTACATTCAATGAATCCTTATCCCTGAAAATTTTTGTTTTTCATTGAAAAACAAGTTTTTCCATAGATGTTTCTTTAGGTCTTTAATTCTCTCCCTGGGACTACTAATCTTCTTATCCTAAATAAGGCACTGAACTTCAAATGGGAAGAGGGTTAACAGGTCATGTTAGAATTTGTATCCAGCTGAATTGTATCTCCTGCTGAAATACCTTTTTTCTTTTCCAACATGCAGGTCCTAGAAGAGTTGAAAATGTCATCCTACTTAAGAATCAAACTGAGTTCCCAGAAACAAACACCGCATTTGCACAGTTCCAAAATGATACAACAGCACGACTCCGGAGTAAGCTGTCCATTTCTCCATTTATAAAGGTGCATTTCTCATCTTTATCATAGCTTACCAAATCTGTAACAGAAATCCAAGTCCTGAGAATTACAATCCTTCTGAACCTATTACAGTATCATTAGAAGTCTGACAACTTCTAAAGCACTGCTTCACAGAGCTACTTAGCAATGCCCATTTGTTTAATGAAGCAGTGCAGAAATTTGTTTGAAGGGAAGCCCAGTACAATACGTCCCAAAATCTGGTTGGAAAGCAACAATGCTGAGAGAAGTCCAAAACACAAGAATCCAGATGGACAATTTTATTTTATTTTTTTTTAAACTAATATAGCTTCAAGATTAGCTGCTCCTATCAGTGTTCACTAACGGTCGTCTTCTCTTTGTAGAATTCCTAGCTGAGAAATATGGTGGCACATTCTCCTATATATACCCATATATGTTTAGATATGCCTATTTCTTCATTTTTCATGGAGGACTGTTTTCTGTTAGGATTCGTGGAAAAGAGGAATAGAATAATTCATCAAAAACACTAACGGCTCTCTAGGTATCCACGTGATTGCTGTCAGTTAACTGCTGTACGTTAACTACAGATTTGTTTTTTCTAAGAATTTAGGAAATTCACTAAATTACCGAAAGATAACCCAAACTTCAAGCTGTTTTTAAAAATAAACTGTATTTCTTTGGTAATGATTAAGTATTACACATTTCCAATTTTAATGGCCGAAGACCACCTCCCTGTTTAACATGAATATGAAACTGCCACTTTCTTAAAAATAAAGTGGAAATGCTGCACTGAAAACGGGCTACTAATTATTTAAGTTATTGTGAAAGACATCAGATCACAACTGTCAAAAATCAGACAGCATGAAACATTCAGGAAATCCACAAATATGAATTTGAATCCTGCAGTAGAAAATATAACAAAGCACAATGAAAGCTTATCTGGGTCACTATTTCATTAAAGGGAGGGCATTTGTGTTATTAATCTTGCTTTCTCTTTCTCATAAAGATCTAACACGGTTGTATCACAAAACTTCAAGCCAAACATACACTCAACATTTTCTTATGGAATACTTACACCATAGAAGAATTCTATATTTAGTGTTTACACATAATATTCACTGAGAGAGCAGGCGCAACATGCATGTAACTCTCCATGTCTCCAATACTAATCTGATTTAGATATTATTACAAAAATGCTAGCTAATGTTGCAAATTAAAGAGTGGCAACTAATCTTACAGCACTGCAAACTTCTGTCTTGTCAAGAAGTTCAGTCCTTTCTTGCTGTCAGCCAGAAACAGACACATTTTACAGATTACTGAAAAGCAAGAGTTCAGTTTCGACTAAATCTCTTTATAAATGCATTCTCTGAATAGTTTCCCCGTGGACACACAGATATGTAGTAGACACAAAAATGATCAAGCTCAGTAGCATTTAATATTTTATATTTTACCTTTCCAATCATTGTACTCAGGTCACCGTCACTCAACAAAGGATTCTGGGTATCCCCAACTCGAGATGGGTCTTTTGTTGCTTTATCATTGCTGAAAGTTCTCCACTCCGATCCTACATCTATGACACGATCACCTGTGGTTACAGAAAGCAATTGTTTGTATCAACATAACATTTTGAAACAGCTTCTAAAACATTAAGTTACACAGCTGAGCTCTCAGTTGTAAAATGAAGGCTGTTACCAAGTGCAAACAGGATGTAGCTGCAGGTCAACACATAAAATTGAAAAACCTAAAAATTTTGAAGTAGAAAGCAATAACAGGAGCTGCAGAGAAGGTTTAAATAACTGGATAAAAGAATCCAGAAAACAGTTGCAGCCATCCTTAAAGAATATCATAGGTTATTCAATTCAAAGAAGGAGCTCACAGTTGTCCATAAACATTCCCAGTGATAGACTGTAAATTATTCCCAGTGATAAAGTAAGTTATCCTACCTTTGACACTTGATAAAAGTACTCCTGAATTAGCTATCAAGCACAGTCTCATCAAGCAGTAGCACATCGCTTTTGATAGTGAATGAGCTCCAGGCCTTGGTATTCAGAAATGAATATGCCGCCTTCTAAGCCATCATAACAACTTTTTGCAGCTCTGTTTTGTTCCTTAAGGGATGCCTGACCCTTAATGAAAAGGATTTTTCTTGGGAGTCCTCTCAAATTCACCTAAATGTTTCCAGCAGCATCTATTCAGATTGAGAAATCTCTCTATCCAACATTAATACAGGCAAAAAGCCTGCAGTAATCATAATGATACAAATAACGATTAACAAAAAAGTTCTGTTTGTAGTTCAGTTCGTTCTATTCACAGATCTGGTAAAACCAGCACCTCCAAGGCATTGTCTCCAGAGCAATACTACAGTACTACACAGAATTTTTAGGAACATGGGTAGAGAAAAGCATTAAGAAACAAAGCATTACAGTTCTGTGCAAGACTATCAGAAACCAGTATAACTGTCACCTCTGCTTTACTAAACCTGAGGGAAAATTCATTATCTTCAATGTTTAAGTGTTGTGAATTCACAAAAATAAATAGCACTGACAGCAAGAAAAATTTCTGGCATAAAAGTCCAAATATGAAACAACAGAGGTTGGTTTAATCTAATAAAAGCATAAGCAGACAGACAAAAGCACACCCTACCAAACAATGATAACATACAATATGAAAATGGAAACAAAAAAAATACAGGAGCAAAGCACAGAGTGGTGTGACTGCAAAACTACTTGTGGAAAAAAATCTGAACGAGGAACTTCACTCTTAACACATGATGATGCAAGGAATGTGCCTGAAACTGAAAGGTGTAAATGAATCTAAGAAGTCAGGCCAACCTGAAAAGAACAAATTTAAGACAGAAGTACTCTCACTAGTATTCACCCAACATGCTCCTAGCTATGCTCCGCGTTTATTTAACGCTCAAATGAAGGCTGAGGGAGTGGAGGTGGAAGTAACAAAAGGTAGAAGACTAAGAACACCACAAAGTAAAAGAGAACACAGATCCATTCTTCCTGCTAGAGGCTGGTATCTTGCAAGTTTTCATTAGCAGACAGCATGCTCCTCTGGCTCCTGGACTCTTTGTAAATATTTGATTCAGTAATGCACCTTCTATGGTCTAGCAGTGACTTTACTTTAAGACAACTCTCCAACACTGTTTACAGCATCTAAAAAAAGCAAAATGTACTTAAAATTCTGGCATGGTATAAATAGAACACTGAGCACAGGGCAATGATGTAATATTTTTTTCCACAAGTAGAAATGACCTCAATGACTCACTCAAGGATCTGCCTCTTGCGAGTTATGAACCATTCCTGCTCTAACAAAAAAGTGTTATATCACTGCCTGCTTTGGCAAACATACTACAAACAGAGAATTGAGACTACTATTTCAGAGTGAGAAAAGATTAAGTAGAACAAATCTCTGAATATAAAGCATTTGTGGAATTAAAATGCAGTACGTAAATACCTTCATGTTGCCAAGAAATCTGCTATTGCAAGAAAACAGTTTTCCTGGATATTCTTTACTCACAAAGGTCCAAGGAATCACATTCCACCTTTCAAAAGCCTTGCATAGAAGCCTGACACAAGCTAGAAATAACAACAAAACTGGAACAAATAGGCCAAATGTTTCCATAGATGGAAAATATTCAACTACAAGCAGCTAATTATCCTATCCCACACACAAAAGAAAGTGTAGCACTAAGTATTCTTTTAACCTTTCAAAACATAAAAATCACTTTGGAACTGTTGCTTTGGTATGTATGCAATAAAGCCCCACCAGTAAGTGACAGAAACAAAACCTTAAGTACCAAAGTCAGTTTTACAAAAAGCAGTGCAACACAGCAGCACTCAGAGAATCAGCTTTGAACACTGGTTCCTAAGTTATCATTTCTAGCTCTGAACTGCAATTCCTGGCTCATACCCTACTGATGCACTCCTAAATCACCTGGAAAATGCACCTGAGTGGCAAACAGCAGAGCAACCAAAAGCTCCCAAAAAATACTATCTAAAATCCCTGCTTTCTCCCGTTGTTACTACATAGGTTTGTCAGCTGTATTCAGCTGTGATAGGCTGGGGAGTGGTTGCACATTCTCTTCACTACTTCCTTATGATGCCATCTGTTTGAACAGAAACAAACTTCACAAGATATGGTCACATCAGACATATCTTTAAAATCAAACGTGAGTTCATCCCTTTCTGCTCTGAAGTAGAGAAGTAAAACACACTTCATGAACCAAATCTATACAGATGCCCATCTCCAGCATGAAGCATCTTCATGAACACAAAAGGTTTTCTTCACTGCATTATTTAATTCATAAACTCTTCTCCCAGTATATAACCAGTCTTTAAAATGCAATTTAATTGACTAACACATGAACTGCAGTGGAAATACAACTCAGTTTACATGTCATCTAAAAATGCACAACTGCTTTTATTCAGAACAGAAGACCTCAGACAAGTTACTTTCTTTCAGAACCGATAAATAAAAAGAGCAAGTGCTCCAGAAATGAAAGAGTGAACTCAGCTCAGTATCAAAAATTAAAATGCAATTTTCGAAGTTTTTAGTAATTACTTTAGCATGACTATAAAACACAAATACTACGTTTATTTCACCCCAAAAGTAGAAAGCAGTTTGTCAAAGGAAAGCACTCCTATTTGACAAGTTCTGCATTAACAATTACATATTCTCAGACAAATAATACCAGCTACTTCAGCAGCACAATCCACTTGAAATACTCGTGACGCATGAGTCCTTCATTCTCTATTTGCATTTTTATTATCTCTTATATTAAGTGTGTATATATAGATAGATAGATAGATACATATACATACACACAAATAACTGCAAACTGAGGAGGTTTAATCAAAATAACTAAGATGGAATTGGAGCCTCAAATAATGTTATCTTCCGTATTCAGTCCTGAAACATTTTCAAGATGATATGGCTTAATTCACTGTAAGAGGAGCTATAATGGTAGATGTACACTGAGTCAAGCTCTGCATATGAACAACTAATATTATAATCTCAAAATAAATAGCAAAATAATGTTTATGTGCAATTTAAAATACCAAACACAGTCACAGTTTCTAACAGTGTTTTGCTCATTCTGACCATTAGTTAAGGAATCTGCTGCCATCTAGTGAGCACATACATGGAAATGCGTTTAAGAACATCATGCTTAAAAACATACATAGAATTCTAATTTCAGCCAACTCCTTATCGTGGAGAGTACTGAGGTGCTGAGACAAATTACAGTGAAAAATCCAGGTAGAAGACTACAAGCCAAGGAAAATTATGAAGATATAATTGCACAGAACCAGGCTGAGCTGAGCCTTCCTTCAAAACTGAACAGACTCCATTCACTCATAGTGAGAATACACCTGTCAATACATCACTTTTGTCACCTTCTGCTGCACTTGCTCCAACAAGCCTGAGCACTTCTTGTACTGAGGAGCCTGTAGTTGGACACAGTACTCCAGATGTGTACACTCTTCCACATTCTGTTTATTTGCTTATTGTCATCAATTTGGGGCCAATTTGCACGACTAATGGTGTGAAGGGACTCACAGACACATGGCCCGGAAAAGGGGAAAGGAAAGAGGGGAAAAGGGAGGGAAATGGGCCTAAAAACTAAACAGCAGCAACAAGCCAAGGGAGAAAACTGATTTAATAAGTACGATATTGGAATGCAAGATAATACAATATAATATGATATAACTGGAATTGAAGCTGATAAATCAAATAAAATGAGAGTGCCCCAAAACCGAAGGCCTTACTCTAATGCTGACGTGAGACAGCCAGGGAGCACGCACTGCAAAGATGAGAAGTGAAAGAAGGGGACAGTCTCGTGACTTGTGAGTGGTTTTCATCTTTCCCTCTAAACTGAAAATGGAAACAGAACATTGAAAGTCTTCTGGGAGATGTAGTTCTTCTCTTCTGAGAACCAGCTACCTGGAAATACCAACAATCTGGCCTGGAGCACCAACTCTAACTGCCAGTGCACTACATGATGTTATGATGTGGAGCACTGATAACAAAAATCACAAAACCATAACACTTACATCTTGCCAGCATAGTTACACTCCATTTCATTCCAGTTTTCAGCAAGCAAAATTACTTTCCTCGAGCTCAGCTATACAACATTTTAACAAAACTAGTATATTTAAGTTAACAAAGAATAATTGTTGAGAATAAACAAAACCAAACCAAACCCTAACTTTTCAGTCACAACTTCCTCTATGTGTCTCCCACAGAAGCTTTCATTAGGCACACAATCCTTTGAATAGCTTCAGATATCAACACCATATCATCAGCAAACATTCCCCAAATATTCCATGATTCAGAATGTAGATAAACATAATATTTAGTCAAATGGAAGTACTCTTCATATTAGCTCTGAACCATCTTTGGTTCCCAGCCTAGAACCTACAAACTGTAAAACCTTCCACATCCTTCAGGAAATATCATGCTAAGAAGAGTGTCTACAAAGCTTTGCCAAAACTGCCAGGGCTTCTGCTCCTCATGTCTTAGCAAAGACTAAATGACAGCAGTCACGTCATGGCTGCCTGACTCAGTACTCACACCACCACTCAGGCTAGTGGATGGACAACATGTTTACCACAGTCTTATGAGATTTGGGAATCAGGCATTCTCAGCAATCCACATCCAAAAGACAAATACAGGCATTTGTGGAAACTTATGCTGTTTCCAGCAGATACAGAACTGAAGTGGGTCAGACTTAAGACAGAGACTATTTGAAGTGCTGACTGAAAAAGGCTAATGGATGACTCTTCTCATACAACAAATTGCCTATGAAAATTCAGCTCCCACAATTCAGCCACTCAAAGTTTCTGCAAATGTAAGCAGATCTTGTAATTAGCTTTTCCATGGATGCAAAGGATTTTACTTGCAAACACAAACTTTTATCCAACACTTTCTAGTAGTCTGGACACCAAGCATAAAAGCAGTAACTAGCTATAAGGTGCTAATATACATCCACATCTAAAACTTTCTGTCCATTTAATTAAAATCTAAAATCTCCAATTAAAATCTTAAGTGTAGAATGTTAACAGTACTTAGAGAAAGAGGTAATCATCAACATACATACAGATATGGAAAGATTTATCACCATTTGGAAGTTTTAAGATTTTACAACAGCCACAAAAGCCCTCTACTTGATCAGAAGTACTAAAGTACCTTCTTCACTTCCAGGATACTACCAAAAAATAAGAGAAAGAATGAACTTATTGTTTATTTCAGAAAAGCATCATGTATGTAAAGATGCAATCAGACATTGCAATGGTCTGAGTAATGGAGTGACCAACAGATACAATTAGGAAATCCACTCCTAGTTATTTGTTGTATTGTAATGAAAAAAATATCTGTGGTGAAGTTAAATCTTACCTATACCATATAGACCATACTTGAATTTAAGACTATACATTTACATCTCAAACTTTTCAGAAATATTAGCCAACTAAATAATGCAACAGAACTTTGTAAAGCCATACCTCTGATCACAAACTATGCAATGTTTTCCCACAAACTCTAAAAGGTATACAGGAGATGGAACAAACATCTGCATATCATTCATAACCTTATCCTAGTCTCCTGTTGTCTCAATCTTTTTCTGTTGCCTTTCCCCTCCTTCTCAGCAACATAACCTCTAAATGCAACATCAGCCATAATACTAGTAACACTGATTTCATTACACACCCACAGAAAAGATAATTGTCAAACTTTGGAATCAATGTATCAGCTACTTTAACCACTAACATGCACAAGGAGGAAAAAAAAAAAAAAAAAAAAAGCTTTTCCTCAAAATATGTGATGTTTCAGTGCTCTGCCACAGCAAGCAGGAAAAACATCACGTGGAAATACACTAAACTTTGTCAAAAATTCTTGGATCTCATTTCAGCAATCTTGAACAAAAACAGTGGCCAAATCATGGCACTACATTATAGCAATGGAACACACCCACATTCAGCATATACAATTCTGCCACCCTGGGACACAAGCAGTGTTCTGCAGACACCAGAACCACAGTATTTTTAAATGGAACTGTGACAGTAATTTGGCTGCAGTCTTGCAGTTTCTTCTACTGTTCTAATGGATCCCCTCCAGTGGTAAAAATCTCATCAAATTTCAACCCAACCCAAAACACATGGTGAGTAACACTTGTACATACCAGCTACACCTGAGTAAGCTTAGAGAAATCAGAATGCAAATCTGTGACTTACTTCACTGTGTAGAAAGAAGTGAAATCACTACTCTCTTAAGGGGAGCATATCATGCAACTTGCAACAAATACACACAACTTTGATCATTCAGAAACAAAATATTGTCTACCATTATACATCCAAGAAAATATCTGTTTCTCCTCATATCTCTAGAAAAAGAGACATCAAGAGTAGAATCTGATTTTCTCCTTCTCTAGATTTCCTAACAAAAGAAGGACTATTAAATATTCACACTGTTGTTCGGTCATGCACTCTTCAATTATTTATCTACTAGTTTTTCAAACTAGCTGTTGGATACTCAAGCTAATGAATGGAACACATGCAGGATAACTCATTTACTGAAGGATGGCAAAACAAGATGAGAGCAATTGGCACAACAGTAAATGTTAGAGTATTCTAGTGATAAATCCATGCAACAGCCTGCTTAAAAAATACTCCATGCTTAAAGAAAAAAAAAAAAACAAAAAACCACATTTTACCCCAGCAGTACTGTTGGCTCTAAAGAAGACTAAGTTCAATTTAAACACATTTTGAAAATATACCTTGATGAAAGTCTGCATTAATATTCTAAGGATTTCTTTTTCTAATTTTTTTTTTCCCCATTTTAAATACTCTATTATAATTATCAATACAGTCTAGCCTCTGTAAGTTGCTGCCATGCATACAATGGAGAAGAGATCAGCAAAAATTCAGTAGAAAAACTGGTATTAATTTTGGGTAGTATTAAAAGACTTAGGAGAAGTAATTAACAAAAGCAAGTATTGGCAAGAATACAGAGAATCATCGTTCAGGGCAGAAAATAACCACCAACCAGTGGGAAACAAGAGTTGCTCTGTCTTTGTTTATAAGGAAGCTATTTGCCTATGGGCTTTTATTGCTTTTTTTTTTTTTTTTTTTTTAACTTTACTAACTGAAATAACAGTCACAGTTAAAGACTATTAGACAAAGTAACATAATACTCTAATTCAATATAACAAAATATTTCAAGATTTCAATCTTTAAAATGTTTGTTTGTTTTTTCCAACATTCCACAAGAAGTTCCAGAAGAAAGGCTACTAAAAATAGCGTTTAGCAAAGAGATCATCATGCAACAAAACATTTAGGTATCAAGACAAAAAAACTAAAGATTCAAATTACATTCCCATGTTGTGGAGGGAAAAAAAAAGTACAAAAACCCCAAAGAGATCTATATGCATAATTAAAGTTACACAGTAATTCACAGTGATACAAAATCCACTTACCTACTACTAGCCCACACTCCGAACAAATCATATCACCAGCTCTGTAATCCTCCACTAAAATGGAATCTGGATGGTTTGGGCAAGTCACCCTTGGAAGAGCATCCAAACTGCAAAGAAAGAAAAAAGAATTAAATCATTATTATCTCGATCAAGGAGGGTGCATCCCAAAGCGTGAGTTCACTGCTGAGAAGAATGATTTATGGTGATTTGAAGGGCTGATTATTGACCTAAAACACCTGAATATCTTAAATTCCAAAACTTTTGCAATTTATCTCATCACAGAAACACCGAAAGCTTCCAATGAGAACATCCAAAACTTAAATGCAGTCAGGATTAAGTGTAGTCCACCTCACAATCTACTGCTAATTGTAATTCCTGAAGAACGTAGAGGTGATTACTTCATGCTAATGGGCATTTCCACTCTTTCTTCCACTTCATTCTTTTCAAACCAACATAATTTATCAGGTCCTCATTTCAGGAAGTAATGGGCACACATTTATTTGAGAATATATAATTCTATCATTCTTTTCAAGGATTAGGAAAAAAAAAAACGCCATCCTTAAGTTAGGCTAAAAGTACAGCACGTAAATTAAGCAATTCCTTAGTTGTGAGATTGTAATGGAGAAACTACCAGCTCACGAGAGGGATCGGGCAACAACAGCTTCTGAGGACTGAGAACCATCTCTTGTACACCATATATCTTCAGCAGCTACAAAAGCTTCCAATAAAGCCTTGTCATCATTTAACATGTGCATATATACAACAGCACTAAAGCAGAGCAATGAGCAACTGCTTCTAACCAAACATTGCAACAGTAAATACCTCATTTAAACTAACAGTAAATGTCCAGTAACTCCATTAAAACAACTTTGTTTCAAGGCTAAAGTTGTTTCCACTTACTATTCAAAGTTTTGTATTCAACAGAGCCATTTAATCGAGCTAAAAAAACAGTGGGTACGGCAGCTGACCACACTAAAATAAAACGCTGCAAGCACTTCTCAGCCTAAACACGACGGCACCAAAAACACCTGCCGATCCTTCAAACAGGAAACGAGCCTTTATAGGAGTTGAATTCATCCGAGTTTCCTCCTTTCCCACCGGCCTGCCACTGCAGCTTATCCTACACAGTCCCACCTCGATCTTCATGTTTTGGATACACCTGATGCGTCAAAGGAAAACAAACGCAACGTTCTAAATCGACGGCTGTTCAGAAGAACCTCTACGTTTCAGAACGCAAATCAAGAATCACCAGCAGCGTTAACCTCCACAACCCCCGGGCAGAACACGGTCACGCACGACCTTCGGATGCAGATCACGCTGGATATCAGACACACGCGCTCCCTCCCGGCCCTTCCTCCCTTGCCCAGCGGCTTCACGTGGCAGACACAAGTGTTGACAAAGCAAGCAGGGCACCCAGCTGACATTCGGCGTTACGCAAAACGCCAGCGACACACGGAGCGAAAGCAGGGAGGAAAAAAAAAAAAATCCAACGAGAAGCTCCGAAGAAAACGCTCGCGGCACGCTGCCGCAGAGCTCTGTCACAAATGACCACACGACAGCCGTTTTTTCCACCCAGGCTTTAATTAAGCGATGCGGACAGGCGCCCGACCGGCGCGGGGAGCGGCACCGAGCTCGGGGCTCCGCCTCACAGCAGCCGACCGCCCGCCGCGGCCCACACGGAGAAGCCCGGGAGGCCCCCCCGCCTGCCGGCCCCGCCGCGGGGCGGCTTACGGACCGAGCAGCCGGGAGGAACGGCGAGCCGAGGCGGGGGGCGGCGCCGAGCCGGGGCCGGGCGGGAGCGGCGATGGCCGCCGGTTCCTCCCCGGGCGCCAGCGAAGGCCGACGCGACGCGGCCATTTTCTCTGCCGGGCCGCAGACGGGGAGAGATGGCGGAAGCCGCGCCGCCCGCTCCTCGGGGGGAGCTCCTCCGCGCGGGTCCCCGCGGAGCGCCGGGCCTCCCTTACCGGCTCGTGGACGCCATCTCGCTCCCTCCGGCGGCAGCAGCTGCGCGCGGTCGGGCAGCAGCTCGGCGCACCTCCTTATGTAGCGGCCGCGAGGGGCGGAGCCGCCGGCAGCTCGCGACGGGTCGCGCGAAGGGACAGGCGGCGCCGCGAGCGCGCGCCCTGGGATCCTGCGCGCGCCTGCCGCGAGCCCCGCCTCGCGCGGCTCGGCGCCCGCCGGCGGGACGCGGCGCAGCTCAACGCGAGCTGCTGACGGAGGCGATGCCGGGCGCCTCGGGCTGCGCGCGCCCAGAACGTGGCGGATGGGAGCCGACACCGCGAGCAGCTGCGGGAGGCGAGACAGCTCGCACTGGCAGCCGCTCAGCGTGGGGGCTGCCTGCAGGCAGAGCTCGATGTCGCAAAGGGGAAAGAAGGACCTATTTCTGCTTGCGATGACATTTACGCACTAAAACCAAAGGATGAAATAGACATTAAAAAAAAAAAAAAAACCACCTGCTTTTCACGGGGAATAAGACTTGCTATATTATGTTTCCCTATGACCTCTGAGATGTGGAGGTAGCAGTGCCTGCAACAGCTGCGCCACATCAGCACTCAGCCCCAGGGGGTTTGCAGGGTGCGCGGCTTTTGCGGAAAGCTCTCCACCGCCAATCGGTGCCAGCAAGCAGCAGGTCTCCCCGCCTTCTGCTCAGCAACTAAGGCTTCCATTCACACTACACCAACACGATCACTTGCAAAAAAAAATACAATGGACCATACTCTGGTTTTGTTCCCTGTCTGCAGCCGTATGTCAAGTGCTTTCCTCCCTAAGCAAAAGTGTTTGATGTGGTAGATGAGGTTACCACTCCCAGCAGTCTTTACTACAGATCTTGCAAATAACTTATGGAAAATCCACCTTGTTGTCCCCAGCTACACCTGTTCTTTCCCATCATTGTAGTTACAACAATCATCCTAATTTTAAAATGTTACTTAACTGGAGTTTCTTAAAATGTAATCCAAGTTTAGACATGCTGTCTACCATCAGTGATAAAAGTCAAAACACGCTGCAGTTCCCACATTAACATTACCATTCCAACAATCATTCAACGGGCTATTCAACTGCCTTTGTAAACACAACAAACTGCATTAATGACAGTAAGTCATCAGATCTTACTTGTTTGTCTAAAGATCCTTTGCAATTGTTTATTTAGCCAATGTTCATTCTGTTAAAATACCAGATGTCAGTCAAATGCCTCAGGAGCAAACGGAGGCAACAATCACCAGCCAGAACAGCTTAATCACACTTGGTATATCAACTCATTTCTGCAATGCATCTTACATGTCCAGACCTTTAACGACACATCAAGAGTTTTGGAAGCAGCGAGGCTTCTGTTCACAGGGCAATATAAATGCAGTAAAGGGAGGCAAGTAGCATCCTAACACCTTTCTGCTTTTGAGAGGATGCACAGCCTCATAATATACATGCTCTCATGCTACCAACAAGCTATCTCAGGGAAATCTTAGACTGTAAGAACAGTTGTAGAAGTAGAACTGTGCTTTTTCGCAGTTATATTTCAGACTAGCATGACGCAATGATCTTTATTTATAAGCCTCTTTTGATATTATTTTTTATCATAACTGTATACATATTACTTGTAATGACCTCTTGAAAACAGCAACTAACCATTTTTGTGGGGAGATCTGGAGAACGACAGTGCAAGGCAGCTGAAAAGACCCAGCTACTGGGCTACTGACAAAGCAGCCTAGCAGATCACTTCACAGTCTGATTTCCATACAATTCTTTCTGTCCTTGTCCATAGTCACAAACTGATGGGATTCAGCTGGATTCCAGCTCTGTAATCACATAATAAGTAAAATAGTTGCAAATCTAGCAATAGAATTTCTTTGGGCTTTCCAGCATAAGGTCTGTGGGATGAATACCAAACCAGTATGAAGAATACAACACATTTAAAAGGTTACATACTTGGATTGCATTCACTAGTGGGAAACCTATGCAGAGATTAAAAGATTGCACAGAGAGGAGACAACAATGAAAGAACTCTCCACATTTATCTCATCTGAACCTGTCCTTTATCCACTGAGCTAGGAATAGTCAAAGTTGAGCTCCACAGTATCAGAGAATTACAACACAATATCAGGCCCATCTCCATGTTCCCACTTGATCTTAAGAGTTTAAAGTTTGTTGTGAAGTTACCAATGGCTTTTGTGGACATGAAAAGGGCAAAAAAGAGATTACAGGATTAATTCACCTGATGGAGATGCCTCTATAGCAAGTCCTTTTATTTTGCTTTGCAGATTCATTTATGTAGTATAAGAGTGTAGAAATAAAAGAAATCCTATTCTAAATGCCACTTGCATAATTTTATCGAGGACTGAATACCTTCAGAACAGCACAAGACTACTGTGGGAAAACCAAATACTGATTATTCCTTCAGATCTTGCCTGTATAAACACATAATTGATTTAACTCAATCACTTTAGTTAAACTGATGCAATCTGTGCACAGACAGAGTAGATAGGTACATAGAAAGGCACTGTGGTTATCTTCTCTGAGACATATAGTAATTTTCCTCCGCCTCATACTAAAAAACTTAAAATACCTACAATTTATTTCCCAGTGCTAGAACTCTTCATGATTCAGTAAGACAAAGACAAAGATGTGAATCCCACAGATCATTTTTAAAGGAAAAAAAGTAAATAATTTTGAAAAGAATTAAAATAACCTGAGTTACATTATCAGTAAATCATTGTTTTAACTCCTCAGCAGGTGGCAGTACAAAGTTATTTACAATGTCATATTAATTCTGTACTGTATTAAGTAATTTGTTCTTAAGTTTGCAATAAAAGCCCTAGTGTAAGATAATTATACAGACAGAAGAGTTAATTAAGAGAAAAAAAAAAAAAAAATCAAGCGCTCTGCTTCTTCCAGTTCTTCAGGATCACTTCAGCTGCATCCAGAGTGCTGTCTTTCTGCAAAACAAGGAGTATCACTATTACTGCAAGTATGGATTCTTGAAAACAGTAGTAATCATATTTATATGAACCCAAATCAATATTTGGCAGTGTCACTTGCAACCTCTTAATATCCCAGTTGGTCACATTGTCATTAACAGTTATAGCTACACTGCACAAAAAAATTCTGATTCCTTGCAAAGACTTATTAGATATGTTTGTTACAAAAATAACATTTTTTTCTCAATATTAGTATTATCAAATTTCATTAAATTGGGTAGTCCTTATTTAAATATTTGGCATTTACACAGTGAAATACTTGGCTGCTCTGTACTGGACACTTGTTAGCATAGTTTCCTAATCTTTACGTGTATAGGTGGGTTTTTAAAACTTCATGCAACCAAGCTATGCTGTCTACTTAAACATAAACCCTCTGAATACAAATAACCCACTGGTCAGTTGCATGGCTTGGCTACAACACAATGAATCATACAGGTGTGTTTAACTTGTTGTGATTAGTGCTGTTCATCCTTGGCAAGCTCTATTAACTATCAGCAAGTTTCATTCCGGTTCTTACTGGCTCTGTTTGTATCACTGTCTTTATACCTCATCCTAAGAGCTGTGATAACATAAGCAGAAATTCCCATTCATTACTGGATCAAGCTAAGGTACAGATTCTTATACTAAAACAGAGTTGTCACATTTCATTATGTTGACACTGTGACAGAGCAATAGGACAAGCATTTTACAGCACTCAGATTACCAAAGATCATGTATGTACATGTCCCCACAGCATTTCTTTTCAAGCACAGATTCAACAACTGGGTGAAACACAGGGAAGAACACATGAAAATCAGGTGCCCACAAAATCACAGGTGTTATCTAATTCAGGATTTCTCTTTTCTTTAAAAAAGAGACAAGATTCCTTCCCACGTCTTTGTTTTCTTTTATAGTTTGCAGCTTGTGTAAAACTCTTTGTATTTTCAGGTGAATTAAACTTCAAGCCAACTTACGATTTTTGTTGCTGGAAACTGAACAGACATGCAGTACTTCATGCATATCATTTTAGTATATCATTTTGCTATACATGGGAATTATTCCTTATTCTGGTTACAGGATCCACTGTAAGTGATTGCATATCCACCTCATACATCAGTGTCATCACTGGTCAGTAATGCTTTTACAAATCAACAAAATATCAAAAAATATCAAAAATAACAAAATATCAAAATATCAAAAAAAAAAAGACCTAACCACCCAGTTGTTAGCTATGTCATTTATATTTCTGGTTTCAAGTCCCTCGGCAAAAAAGACTGTTGAAGCTACTTCATGCTGAATTCTACACCAAACTGATTTTCCGTTTCTAAAATCATCCAACTCAGACTGTGGGCAAAAATGTAGCAGTTGTCTATTGCAGTTTTTGATGCTGTGTTGATTTTTGAGTCTTCATGGGACACAAATTTACCTTAATGAAGCAAAAACGTATATATTTTTCAAATTGCCTTTTTGTCTCGGGCCCACAGAATGCTGAAAGAGGAATTGCTGAGAGTTTCTGAAGAATTAAACAAAAATATTATTATACATCTATATTAAAAATGGTTTTAAGCATGGTTTTCTAAAATTCTTTGAACATTCAAGGAAAATACAAGGCTGAATTTTGTTCTGAGTAACTAGGCTTAAATAATTTCATATTACTTTTCTTAGACAAAACATTTCAAAGGTATTTTTCTACAACTAGCATTTAAGCAGCGAAACAACAAGTGCTGGAACTTAACACAAACCTATAAAAATACATTACCAGTATGCTTAGCAATATATAAGTCACATCATTTCCAAAAGATAGTATGAATACCAAACAGTATTTTGAGTAAGCATGGTTGCACTGCTTTGGATTTCAGTAGAAAAGTATTCCTAAAACTAGAGTATAACTAGGACATCTTACCTTAGATGATATCATCCATCGGACAAATTTATAATCATAAGGTTGATTCTCATCCATGTCAGAGAGATCCACATCTAAGAAAAAGAAATTATGATTTTCCAGACTCCAGTGGGAAGGCATTCACCAGCAGCATTACACTGATGTATGCTTTTATTAAAGAAATGTAATTCAGATTATATTGAAACAGCTAACAAGAGATTAAGCCAAATGCTTGGCTCTCAAATTGTTTCATAATCAAAGACCTGTAAGAAATACTTTTATTTTTTATCCACAACCCTTGCCTTTCCTAAAACTTTACCAAAGCTTTGCAAAACAAGGATAGTTGTTACAATTGCAAACAAACATTTTTCCTCAAGCTTATAAAATCCACCTACAGGCTAAAGTCAGATGGAAAATTTAATTCCCACTTAGTATTTCTGACAGTGTTGTGTGAACAAGAAATGAGAAGACAGTTCAAAACAAAAGCTGTATTCTCAGCTTAAAAATATTTGCTTTGTATACCCTAATATATAGGGTATACAAATAAATAAATATGTATTTTTTTAAACTTACTTAATGTAGAAACATCAACAATCATAAAGTATCCTCCTTCTGGAATGACAGGTGTCAGCCCAACTTCTTGAAGTAGCTGAGCCATCCGATCACGCTTGCTTTCCAGCTCTCGAGGCAGTGAGTAAAAATAGCAGTCTGGGTCATCCATGCGTTTATAGTCTACCCAAAGTGCTTGTGCCAAAGCCTCCTGGAAAGACAATGTTCAAAATACTCAAGGACATGCACATGCTTCCTAATGAAATTACGTAGATTTTTCTTTGATTCTGTAGTAACATCTGGCTCTTATTAAGCAAATCAACAAATATAAATTACACAAACTACATCCAGTAGTGTAATTTGCTTGCTAGTTTGTATTGTAGCAAAACCCAAAGCACCAATTGCTCGCTAGGCATTCATCACCTACAGAAGCTCTGAACATGAACATTTACAACATGAACTGAAGCTGAGTTTAGTGACAATATAATCATAAAATACTAATAAATAAACTGTGATCTAAAAGGTAAAGATAACTGTCAGTAAAACAAGACCCTACTGCATCAACTTTTACTTACATTTGGCAGGAGACCACACAGATTGTTATGAGTGGTGCCTACTGGAAGAAGTAGCAGTTTGTGTGTGAAAGAAGAAAGAATCTGCAAGACTTTCTTGGTTTTGTTTCAGGTTTTTTTTTTTTAATGTTTGTTTTTGAAATATCTTGTCAGCTGATGAAGTTCAAGATCTTTTTCTAGCAACCCAGAACACGTATTTTGACAATTAAAAATTAATTGTTGTGATTACTGTTTTATCATGGTAAGGTCTACAAGTTTGCTAGGTGAGAAAATAACTTCTTTGGCTCCATCTGTACCTACCTGTAATGGAGTTGGGCAAGAATATAGTGTATTTTGATGAACTACTTGCAAATGCTTAATCAGATTCTGGGGGCCAATAGACCAACCAAGCTAAGGGAAAAAAAAGCATGCATATATTATCCTTACAGCAACACCATTACTTCAGATTAACAAAGAATTAAAGTTAGAAAATGTCTCAAGTTTTTCTTTAACAATTAGTAGTTTGTTCTGGTAAAGAACTCAGAAGAGAGCTAGTTAATAACTTTGCTCTATAATGCATTTTAAAAAATCTAGGTACGAGACAAGAATAACAGCTTCACTTAACACATCTCAAAGAATATCAAGCAAACTTTTAATTCTTCATATAACGAGTTAGAAATTAAACAGATCCTTTATTAGGAATGATACTGCCAATTGTTTTAAGTCCACGTCATAGGCACCCATGTCAAGGGTGGTTCAAGCATAAAACAAGAGGTCATTACTGGATCAAATCTACTTTCAACGAGACACAACTCAATTGTCATGGTTCAGTCTGACCACAGGTGATAAAGAAGAAAGCATTTAGCCGCCAAAAGATTAGCTATATTATCTTCTAATATGTATTTTGAAGTCACACAAAATATTATTATTATTTAATATTTTTATAGTATTGAAAGAGAAACCATTCCAAAAGTTACTATATAAATCTAAAAATAACATCACCATCACAATACTGGATAGTTAAAAATATGATAGCATCCAAGTCTTCTCCAAGAGTTTTGAATAAATCATACTGTGTTTATTTATATATTTTTTCTCATAAGAACTCACTACTCAAAAGACAAGAACAGACTTAAAACAAAAGAGTTCAAGTAGTTGTTCCAGCTGAATGGTGTCTTCACTTTTTAGAGACACACAGATTTCCAGAAACTTTCAAAAACAGGTAACAAAAATGGAGTGTGATAAATGCACCCTGTTATTTACTTAACTAAACTCGTACGCTGATTTTCCTTACCTTCCAACCAGTTACACTGTATGTTTTCCCAGCACTTCCTATAGTTATTGTTCTTTCCCACATACCTGGCAATGTAGCTGTATACAAAATAAAATTAATTGGGTACAAGTGCATTCACGTATTCCATGTAATTTGCTTCTAGCTAAGAACTACAATATGCTGATGTATAATTGTAGAGAGAGTATTTGAAAACTATAGCAACTGTAACAAGAGAAAGAATGTATGGTCCAAATATCTTGGCACAAAAATAAGATTTGGATAAAAGATAGAAAATAAGGAAAGACATAGTTGGTGAAAATGATGTTAGTTTTCCCCAGATGCAGAATTATTCATAAAAAAGATAAAATCTAAGAGGCTACTTATTTACCTCAATACGGTATTATTTCTGATGCCTGGTAAGGGCACTATATACAACATTAAACCAAGCACTCCCAGGCATTTTAACAGAATTGTCCAGAAAACAGTTCAGTATTATTCAGTATCTCTTATCAGAAAAAAAATAATTTTTAAGGTTCTGGTTTAGAAATCAGATACCACGTGAGTTAGAAACCCAGTACAGAGTAAGTAAATTACATTTTATTATACAATTTGAACAGGCCTGAGACTGACATGCAGTAAGAACTAGGTAAGGGTGTCTGCAAGTATTAAGGGATACAAGGAAGCCTATTTCCATCCTGTATTTGTATCTTGTAGGAGACCAAAATCTTTTCTTCCTTTTCAAAGGTGATGACAGAGCAAAGATCTCTTCTGTCAGCTTGCAATTTTCTTCTGTACTGCTTTACCATTTTGACTCTAACTTAACTCATTTGCAATAGAAACAGGCAAATCAAGACACAAGTCACAGATACAAAATTAGACAAGGTCATAACTGCAGTTGCAGTTTCAGTGCTAAGCAACACCTGGGCTCTAGCACACTTGTACACTACAACTGCTACCAATGAATTTATTGGTTGTTAAATCCCCTCTCTAGAGAGATCAACAAACACAGATTTTCCAAACAAACACTGACTTTCATAAGAAAGGTTTTGCAGCAGTTACATTCATTAGGCATGGTAAAGGTCTTTGCAACTCTTCAAAAACATGCATTGTATTCTTCTGAGCACACTTGCCAAGAAAAGAAACCAAACTAGCAGGAAAGAGACTCATATTCTTATTAGCTCACCCATATTCACTCAATTGCTCTGTGACCTTGAAAACATAAAGGCAGTTTGAACAGATGCATCTTGTAGCTAGCTAGGTCAAGAGTACACACTACTTCCTAAAGACAACTGAACTTGCTCACTGCAAAAATAATTGAATTTCAAAGCAAATGCCCTCTAGCGAGAGACTGTTTTGCCACATAGTCATAGGAATTCAACCTTGGAGACAGAATGCAACAGCATTTCAAACCATAGCAGCAGCAAAAGAGCACAGGGGAAGAATCAACTCGGTTGCTTTTACAAGCAGGTTTTAAATAAGCAAATTCTTCCGTGCTTCCATGCCAGATGGCAGCAACATTACATGACACCATAAGGTGTCATAATTTACTATCAGAGTGCAAGCTAACACATATAAGTCTGTTACCTGGGCTGGCACTCAGCTTGTTGAGATGTCTGTTCTTAATCCTCAGTTACAATATGCTACCTCTAAATCCTAATCAATACTTAGAGGAGGTTTTTACAAAGTCAGATAATGATGAGAAACTTGATGAAGTGCACCACACTACAGAAAACAGCCTTAGTGACAGCACAGAGATGGTACTAATTTTATGATCTGTGTTGAGCAACTCTTCTTAAATTATATTAAGGAACCACCACCAGACACAGTAAATTGATGCAATATCTACTTTGTATCTCTCAGAAAGGAAGTGTCAGTGCACTGATGGAGTGTTTAATATGAAAATACAGGAGTTTAATATGAAAATACAGGAGCTATTAAATAAAGAAATAGCACATGCCATTTTTTCTTACATTTGCTTTTTGTAGATTTAAAGAAGTCTAAGAAACTGAAGTTAAAATGAATAGATCTTGCTTCTTTTACTGAAGTAATGTTATTTCTCGCTTGTTTTATGGAAGTTTTATGATAATCTTAATAATAAAGTTAAAGATGATGTCATGGGATTGATCATAGAGTACATACTGAAATGAATCTGAGTAACCTTTCAGGCTTTACTTTTTCTCATAATCGCAAGGGATTTTTATTTTGCATGCTGAACTACAGAAAGTCTTCTGTTCAATTGTAAATGTTTTGGTTTGAAGCATTAACATGACAAAGCTGATACTAATAAACAATAATGTTACTGTATTTTAAGAACTCAGCACCTGTCCACTAAGACAAAGCACAACTGACAACTGAGTGTTCAAACCTGTTGTTATGGCAAAGGAAAATAAATGGATTACCTTACACCACCCACAGTGACTCTGGTTCTGAAGATGGCTTTTTGCATGAACCACCTGCTAGGTCTATGAAGAAAGCTATAAACTAAACTCATTTTACTTTGTAATTGGAACAGGATAAAGCACCAGTTACTGTGGTAACTTGGCATGATGCACTGACGCAAATTACAATCACATGAACCCAAAACATTCCGCTTCCTCAGCATCTGAAGGTCTTCTAGAAGATACCAGACAAGTGAAGTATCTAGAAGGTATCACCACAACAGCCACAAGGTTAGGCCACTTTCAAAACAGACTCACAGTCTATGCATGGCCAATGCAATTAACATACTAAGCTGTACAATCAGTCGCTGTGTAGCTGAGCTAGTAAGTATTCCAAGGTCATTTAGATACAACTTCCTTTTCATTTTTTATAAGAATCAATTTCTACAATGATGCTTCCACTAGAGCCCTCACTAATGGAGTTTCTTTTATTGCTACTCTTGAGATTTTGAGATAGTAAAAGCTTAAAGTTTGAACTTCTTTCAGCAAACATTATTTTAGGGGTAAGTTTACAGTATCATTCCACAGCTGCTTCTACGACGTCACAAAAAAAGAGATAGGTACCTATTTTTGTGTGTTTATTTCCCTTGTACACCAGCCATTCATATACCTCGTCACTGATGCACAGAGTATCATGTTTAATACAGAGATCAGCTATTATCTGGAGTTCTTCTCTGGTAAATACCTGGAATGCAAGAAAGTAAAGGCAATGCATTAATCACAGTATTTAAGGCATACTCTGAAATTATAGTAGTGGTAAAGCAGGACTCTTACCTTGCCTATAGGGTTGTGTGGGGTATTCAGAATAATCGCTTTTGTTTTCGAATTAAATTTACTTGCAAGTTCAGCTGGATCTAAGACCCAATCAGCACTAGATGCAGAGTTTCCACCATTTTTCTTGGAAAAATAAATAAAAACAAAAAATGCATTACTGGAATGCAACTTGCTCTGCCTAAACAGAGGTGCCCAAGTTACCATCCTCAGACACTTTACTAACTACACATGACAACTTATCCAACCTGTTCTGCTTCCCTGGGAGGAGGTGCTCCCCAAACAGGCAGGAGGCTAAGATCAAGATAAATTACTGTGACAATGGCAGTCTTGTCCTGCCTGACGCCTGCCTGACAGCTTCCTCAAGAACCAGTTTCCAGGATCTGGTTACACACACATATAGTAATGTATGTGTAATGCAGGAAGTCCAATCACATGACAGTAGAGTTTATGGCCTTACACAACAAGTTATGTGCATGCTTGGCTGGAAAGATAAATCACCACTAGACTAGGATTTTAGCTCCTTCCCTCCTTATCTATGTGAAAACAGTCAAAGAGTAAAAATATCTACCACTGAGGCCCTGGAATTACATCCTCAGTGTACATGAAGATGACAGAAGTTTGGGTCAGTTTCTGCTAAGATCAAAGAGCATGGCCATACTAATTTTTTGACATATGCCTAGAAGGAAAGAAAAGCAGTCCCTCAGCCCTCTCTTGACAGCAAGATCAACATCTTGCATCCATAAAAATCCTTGCAACCTGCCAACATGATGCCAGAAGTACCAATACATAACTTAACTATATGATAATTATTCATTTTTTACCAATAATTACATCAGCTACCACATAATCTCTTCTTATTAAATAAGTGGATTTTAGAAAATAAGTTCTACTCTTTCACTATATGAGTCACTGAAGGGATCAGAAACCAAATATTCTGAAATGCAACAGATACAGAATTTGCACTGGCATGATCATCCTTCCTATGTTTCCAGTGAAAACATTCTCTGATCACATCCAAACAAAGGAATGTTGATCAGCTTTCAGACTGCACAAATTAAAGCAAATGACAAAATGAGAAACACTGTCCTGCCTTTTCCAGCACCAATAAAATATTTTATTTGCTTTGGATTATCATTATCTCAGTCTTACACTATAACAATCAATCTCATTTTTGTATAATTGGATATTTCGAAACACTGCACAGAAAAGCATCTCAAAGAAGATTTTCAAACTGTATTAGGTAAAGAAGTTTCATATAGTAAATAATTTTTAAAAAGCTACTCACGTATCTCAATGGAATAAAAACAGGCTTTGCACCCGCCATCTTTACCAATGGTTCATAACAGTCATAAAATGGTTCTATTATTATTACCTGAAATTACAATAGTCAATATCAGAAACAGAAAATCTTCAGTGCATAATACCATCGTATTTCCAGATTTGCTTTGGTAATCTAACTTGATAATGTTTCTGGCACTCCATCCTGATTTAAAAAAAAAAAAAAAAAATCACAATGTTCTTCCTTTCCCAGAAGGCTAACAGCATCCTGGGCTGAATCAAAAGAAAGATGGCCAGCAGGGCAAGGAAGGTGATTGTCCCTCCCTACTCTGCCCTCTATGGGCCCCATGTGGAGTACTGTGTCCACGTCTCGGGCCCTCAGCTCAGGAAAGATGCGGAGCTTTCAGAACAGATCCAAAGGAAGGCCACAAAGATGATCAGAAGACTGGAGAACTCTGGAAAGACCTGATCAGGGCCTTCCAATGCTTAAAGGTAGCTTATAACCAGAAGGAAAATCAACTTTTTACATGTGTAGATAGTGATAGGACATGGGGGGACAGTTTTGAACTAAAAGACAGGAAATTTAGATTAGATGTCAGGGGAAAATTTTCACTGAGTGGTGAGATGTTGGAACAAGCTGCCCAGAGAAGCTGCGCATGTCCCATCCTTCCAGATGTTCAAGGTCAGTTTGAATGGGCCCTGAGCAGCCTGATCTAGTGCCTGATTTAGTGGCTGGTAATCCAGCCTGTACAGGGGGGTTGGAAATAGATAATCTTTGAGGTCTTTAAAAAAAAAAAAGAACAAAAAAAAGCATATAATTTCATATAATAATGCTCTTAGACTAAGCATAGTAAGTACTACTCTTCTTTTTGACAACACACACTGTAGTTACAATGTTACAGTCACTAACATATTGAGAATGTTTGGGGTCTTGTTGAACAGATGTAAATGTGCAGGACAAAGATGGGAGATAACTATAGCAAATTGTTGAACAACAGCAAAGCTGCCCTAATTTATGACATTCCAGGTGGCAGTAAGTATGCACTTGCCATGTTAGATGGAATGTATTCTTTTCAAAGACATGGATTCTACCTCCAACACATAATTTCCAAGTATCAAGGAAATCCCAAAGAATGGCCTAAGTCTTCGAATTCCAACAGAAGAAAATTTTCAAATTGGAAAAAAAGGAAAACTGCTAGGCAGAAGCTTGGAAATATATAAAGAAAAACCAAAACAAACAAAAAAACCGCAACTACCAACCCAAAGAGCAGAGAACTAAGAGAACTGTTAAAAAGAGAGAAGTGAATATCAGAGCAACAAAAAAGGAATAAAAGATAGAAATGTGAACACATTATATAAGTGAAAACAACAAAATGCTGAAAGCAAAATGTGCAACACAACAAAAGAAGCTTTTGTTCACTGCAGACCCAAAGAAACACTCCCCCAAAGTGACATTTAGTATCATTACCAAAAAGACTGAGATCAATAGTGAACAGATGAATCACCACAGCTAGTACAGTAAATTAATGACCTTTCCTATAAAGGACTTTTCTGCTTTTGCTGCTATAACTCAATGGTTCAAAATAGAACTTGATATACAATAGCTTTTCACAGGTAATACTTTGCATTATGCTTTGTTTTCTGTTGCAGACAACAACCCAGACATTTTCTTAAATAAACATACAATATCATGTCATCTAACAATAACAGAGAAGAAGCCACTACAGGTATTGCCAAGCATAAAAGAAAAGGGTCTGTAAGCTGATGAACTGATAGGGAGGACATCCAAATGATGATTCTAAGCTGCAAGTCAAATATGCAGAGGTTTGAATTACTTCCTGTAACTTAACAAATTACTGGAAATCAAAAAGAAGCCCAAACATTAATAAGCAGACAAACAAACAACAAATAAAAGCAGTCAAATTCTCTTTTCAGTGCATTTAAGTAAATATTTCAAATAAAAACTTACTTCATCTCCTTCTTCAATTAAAGCCTGTATTGTACTAAAGAGAGATCCATAACCACCTACTGTCACCAGAATATCTGTGAAAGGGTCAATCTTTCTTCCACAAACTCTCTCATATACTTGAGACAAGGCTTTCACCAACGATGGATGCCCCTGTTCAAAGCAAAGAAATGCATCTAAAAGAGTTTACACATTGTTAGGAACACATCAGTGTTTTGGGGCTTTTGTGTGTGGGGGGGGGGGGGGTATTGCCCTGCCTCCCATGGATCAAAATAACATGTTTTGAAACAGAGAAACATGAGATGGACCCTCAACGTTAATATGTTTCAACAGGCAGCATAGCTTGAAGCATTTGTACATTGGGTAAGCAAAGCTATTTCATTTGAATTCACTAGGAAATTCTTTTTGCATAGCTAATACTTTTGAATTTCTTTCTTATCATCATATCTCAGAATAACTTTAGGTAGCCTGTAGGAGAGCTAGGACAAGAGACAGGAGGAGAGAAGGGAATAAACTGATACCAGTTAACCTTCCTTACTTTTAGAGTCTCCTTCTACCTACTCATATCTCCATCTGAAGTGCCTTCTCATTTTCATTAACTTTCAACTAAAAATGTTTTGGTGCAAGGAAAATCTTTTTATCTTGGTTATATACTGCTGGTAAACAACTCCTGCGATCAGAATGATAATTCATATATTGCAAACCTCAGACCACCTTTTGCCAGTTGACACAGAGGTTAGAGTACTCTTCTCAAAACGTGCAATGAACAAGAAAACAAACATAAAACAAAGACCATCTACAATATAGGAACAAAAAAGCACAACGCTGTTTACTCAGGAAGAGTAGGGGTTTCCTGCTACGAAAAACCTTTTTTTTCCTTCCTTTTTGGATACTTGGTAAAAAGAGAGAAAGCAATTCTGGGAGAATAATCAGCTATATAACAAAAATCCTCCTCTAAATATTGAGCATTGTAGCTCTGCACATAAGGCATAAAATTATGAACCTCTCTGTAAACAAAAACATTGCAATAATTTAAGACTTGCAAGTCATTTTTGATTAAAGTTACAGACATTTCTTCCCATGAGTGTGTCAGCTACACAGGAATGCTGCACCACCTGAGTTACTCCACAATCAACTCACAACCAAAGTGCTAAAATACAAGTTACACACTGTGTAGTGACTATCCTCAAGAGGGGAAACTTCCTCTTTCTAACACTTCCTAATCTCCACTCAGATCTGCTGACATCATGGGTGAATCTTTTCTTGATGCACTGTCTACTGATAATGTACTTCTTTCTCACCCTAGTATTATCCTACCCAATTCATGGCTACACTGACCAAATAAAAGGAAAATGTGTAATTTACAATCTTTTGACCTGTAAATTGATTTATATTGTCTTTAAAGGTCCATACAATCCCACACATATGGTACCATTTTGGTCTTGAGCAATTATTCTGCCTTAAGGAAGACTACACAGTCTGTTATTTGGTAACAGATAAAACTACTAGGTAAACTTAATTTGGGACAGAAAAGTATGAACTACCAGTAAAACCAACTTAAAGCAAAGTCAATGTTTTTTTCCTGTGGCAAGCTCTCCACTGACCTCAACTGCTCAAGTTTCACAGTACTTACAAAGCCTCGTGTGTACTGGTTCAGTCTGTCAACTGCTGCTGCTTTTGCCAGCTCTTCTTTAATGTAGCTGGGAGGGCATATATCAGGAAGGCCTTGACCAAGATTAACAATTGAAGGATCTGCTGCCACTTTTGTAAATTCAACCCTAACAGAAAAAAAATACATCTTCAGTTTAACATATCAGACGGAATTATCTTTTCCTTTAAGGGAATTAGAAGACAAAAGAAGTATTTTGCTTTGCCAAATTCACAGTACCAGAAACAGTTTTTAGTAAAGTGCGCTCGTACTGAGAAATAGAGTCTGGGACAACGTTAAGTAACCACAGGAGTCAGAGAACCCAAAAAACAGTTAACTTTCTGCTCCACAGAATTACTGTCTTACCAGAAGAATGGTGCTTACATGCACACGCACAAGCATACAGGTTTTCTGCATATAGGCAGAAGTGAAACAGTACCCTCTTTGAAAAATGAAGTAGACCTGAATGAGAACAGGGATATTACATGATTTAAAGGGTAGATTTTCTCAAGTGAAGGTGTCACTTGAACTACCCGGTCATCTCTTGGGATTATAACTTCTTTTTTTTTTGTGACTTTAGGCAATGGATTGCTACAAGCTCTTTGTTAACTGTTTCCAGTACCATGTCAGAAACTAAGCTTAAAACTCTTGAACAACTTGGTTTGTATGGGTGGTTTTTTTTGTTTGTTATCTTTCACTCTTGTTAACATCTAGATAGTCAGGAAAGGGTAAAATGCAAAATTTACCCAGGTAAAAAGGAAAAGAAAACAGAGCATCACAGTTCAATCAAAAATAAAAACAAATTGCTAACAAAAAAGAAACCCCACCATCTGAGGCTGGATGACCAAAACATTGTGTTTGTATATATACATACTTACACATATATATCTGAGGCTGGATGACCAAAACATTGTGTTTGTATATATACATACTTACACATATATATACATACATACAAATGTAAACCCCAAGCTGTTTCCATTACCTAACAAAATCCCACCTTTACCAGTGACAGTAATAGTGCTTTGTGACCAATTTAATAACTAGTAAAACGCATACTAAGAATAAGAACTTAAATTACAAAGACAAGCATAATGGCTTAAAAATAAAGTCAAATTCATTTGGTAAACAAGTAGTGACTGAGTTAATTATTCAACTCAATTAACATTTAAAATTGAAAGCCAGCTATACTGCCACACCCAAGAGCTACACTTGTCTTATGTGGTTTACTAGATGCACAGAAGCCTGCGCCTAATGTCTCATGCTCAGAAATAATATTTAACAGAACTTGGTTCATTGCTTCTTCTTTTAAGCAGGTAACAAATAAATTTCAGCAGAGACAGCAAGAGCTTGGCAATAATTATCAATCTGGAAAGAAAATGTATCAGCCAAAGCCCTTTTCTGAAATTAGCTATTAGATATTTTTCTTTCACTTACCACACATTGCTATCAAGGCCTTCAATTCGTCTTGTGTTTTTGTGTCTAAAGGCCATTGTCTGCAAGATCAAAATAGACAGATAGAAGGGTTTTGTTAAGAAAGACAAAGTACTATATTGTTGGATCCTGCATGACAAACCCTTCTTCATGCTTTCTGAAATACACCACCGCCAACTGAATTCAGTTCTTACTCAAAATTATAGACACGGTCTTTCATTAAAGCTTCTGTAATAGCTTGAACACAGACTAAGAAGAAAATACATTGAAAGTGTCAGAAATCCTCATTCATCATTATCTAAAACTGAATTGGCAGCAAGGATGGATGAGGAACATAATTGAGCTCAATAGCTTCAAAAGATGATCTAAAAATAAAAATTAGAATACATACATTCTTTGTCTTTTCTACAATATGCTAATATCTTAACAGCTGTTTTTCTTTCAAGCCCGATACAATTTGGAAAGTTTCTTTTTTCAATGCAATTTTATTTGCCAATATGATGGTTAGCAAGAAAATAGGAAAGGTAATTCATATTATAATACATCAAACACATTAGAATGTGTCTTTCTGCTGTATATTAAGACCACTACTGAAGGTCTTAGGAAACTGCTTTAGAATAGACCTCATAGTTCTCCCTATAAACTTTTTAATAGTTCTGGTATTAAAAAAAAAAAAAAAAGAAGAAGAAAATTTGGGAAAATAAAACCATCAAATTTATTTGTATGCACAAGCAACAAAGAAAATAATCATAAACCAGTGCATGTCCATTTCTGTCTGGAAATCAGCTTGACACTCGAAAAGCAATTCACATAGAAAATAAGACCCTTAGAGCCAAACACTACAGTTTCTTTGAGTCAGACTACTAATTTTAGTGACCACTGTTTGGTATTGTTCATTTATGAAGGATTCAAAAATCATACTCCAGCTACCACACTTTGAGAAGGACTAAATACCTGAGTTGCCATTACGTTTAAAGTTTCAACTTTGAAACAGTGGGATTGACTCACAGTTGTAATTTCATGCAGGTACATGTTTGTACTCAATCATTTTACAGTAATGAAACTACTACATATGTGACAATTTGAAACGTGGGAAAACAATAAATAAACTAACATATTTTGCTGCTCATTTGTTTTCTGCGTGGATCTAATTCTGACCTCATCTGAAAGAGACAAACATCCAAACACCACCACAGGACATCTTTTGTTTATCCTCAGGCAGCAAACAGTAACTAGAGTTAAGACTGAGTTTTGACTGGGTGATCAGTTCTGCATCTAATTAAAAATATATAGTTTAGAAGATGAATCCAATTTTACAGTGTTTGTCTTGGTAAATAAATGTCTGTCAGTACTATATAAATACCAGTAACACAGGTTAGACTGAGCCCCTTCTCCACACACAGTTCCTTTTTTCTTTTCTCTCCACATACTGGACTACTACTCATACTATAAGGGATAAGAAACATTGCTTTGAAACTTTCCAGCTAAAAACGAGAATTCTGTATGGTGCCATGGGAAATCTGTTCTATTGATCAGCTCCTCCTAAAATTGTTTCAGTTCACTAAAAGCCTTTCCACTGTAGGACTTTATCCTTAACTGTAACATAGATCTTAACTTCAGTAAGTAATTTTCCATAGCTAAAAATACGTAGGCAAGTAAAGTAAGCCTGTTACAGTCCTCACACTACTTTAAGTTTAAATACTTAATATTTCAGGTCTACTTTTTTTTGTGTGTGTGCCTTGAAAATAGCTTTGAAACAGAACAACTAAACTTATACCAGTTTTCAGATGTTCAGCTTACAGTAGAGTTCACAAGTCCAGCTACTTTGAGAAAGTGAACAAATTACACTTATGAATGATACCCTAAGGAGCATTCTTTCTTTTAAAAGGTCACGAGAACTCCGAAGGCTCCTTTTTAGTGTAGCCCAATTACATCACAGCTTAATAATCTCCAAGCCCTTTTAAGCTTAATTAATAATTAATCTCCAAGCCATGTCCTCATCAAGCTCTAACCTCCTGCTTTCCCTAACACTGATTGCTTTAGATGGAAAGTCAGGTGCTGCCTGTATTTATCTTTTTTCATAATACAAAGAAACTTGTGAGCAAATTGAATGGCAATACGTTTAATGACAGAAACACATACTTCTACATAATTAAATTGTGGAATTCAATGTCAAGAGCTGCAAATGAAGTCAAAATCTTATGTAAATTCAAAAATAAAGACAGGATGAAATTTCAACTTGGTCAGTAAGAACATGCAGGTACTTTAAACAGAATAAAAATACAGCACATGAAAAACTGACTTAGGTCAAATCTGACTTCCCAAGTGGCTTTTATGTTAAAACAAGCCTCTTATTTGAGCAAACTATGCTACAGTTATCTGTACAACAGCTTCAGCAGCTGTTCTATAGGATCTGACACATGCCTTGGTTGATCCAGCTTGCTAACTAGATGAACTGCTCTGTGACCTGGGAGCACAAATGACATTCCAGAGTTCTATACACAACACCAAGCTTAACCTCCAGCCACACACCATATTGCAATGCTTGTTTTCTCTCAGCAAAAGAGAAAGACTTAAGCTGAAGTTAAACAATCTCATACGCAGTTAAGCTGGGAAATTAAGGAGATTCTATAAAAAATTAAGTTTGCAGTGCTTTTATATCCCTTGCTATTGCAGCATCAAAAATCACGACTACCCCTGCTGAATTAACAGAAAGCTGAGATACAAAGGAATTGACATACCGAAATTCTGTGATAAAGCTGGCAGGAATCAGTCTCCTATATCTCAGGCTAACGCTCTACAATTAGGCAATCCTTTCAGCTCGCACCTGTAGCACTGACTTTAAAAACTGAAATGGTTATACAGATCAATAATTGCCAAATTCTGTTGTGTTCATGTGGTTAAATATTTAACTTGTTAGAAAAACTTACTTTAGTCTTAATAAAATGCTTGGTCAAGGTAACTAGGATTAATGAAAATACAGTTAAAGTGTATTTATTGGCAACATTACAAAATCAGTGCCTCTCTAAAATATTGCACAAAATAGTTTTATCGATGAAGTAGATTGAATACTTACATCAGAGGCTGAAAGCTTGATGGACCTAGAAAGTAAATTTGTTTGTAGTTGGTAAGTTCCAATGCCACGGCAACAGAGGCTTCGTGAAGCAAAAAGCATGCCTGTATAACAAATAAGTAATCTGAAATAAACCCTTATATTGCAGGAACAAGTTTCCTAAACATCACTAAGCATTTTTAAAATATAAAACCTTCTCTTCCTGTCAGTGTTTTTCTTTCTTTGAAATCAATTCTAGTAAATTATTACCTTATCACATTCTATATGAATCAAGGATGAAACTTTAGCTGACAGTTAAAGTTAAAATTTTTCTAGCTGTCATACAAAATGAAGGTTTCCTCTGTTTGAGAGCAATAACCTTTTTATTTTTTTCCTTACAATGAAAATTAAGACTTAAATGCAATTGAAAGTCTCTGTTAGAATTGTGAAAATGCATTTGTCTAATACAAATTGCTAAGGAGTTGACAATTTATACACAACATAAAAAGGACCCAGCATTAAAACCGATCTCAATTTTCAGGTGTTTCAAATTAAGCATTCAGAAACTGAGATAATGAAAATGACCAGTCACACTGGAGTAGCAGGTCTATGCAATTTATATAACTAAAAACTTTTACCTCAATGACTTGGGCAAATGTTAAATATTTAGCATGGCTGAAAATAGACAGCCAGAAAGGATGTTCTGCATGAAGTAACAGATTGTTCACTGGCTTCAAAAAACAAGCCCTGTTAATCAATGACTGCAAAAAGACACATGAACAGATACCTCAGGTAGCTACTTCCAAGAAGTTTGTTTAAACATATGCATCAGATGACCATGTGAAAACAAACTGAATTCGTAAGAGAAAAACATAGGAGTTTTTCATTAGGAAGAATGGATTTATTCCCATAAAGCAGTGTTCCTTACACTGAAAATGTAAATAAAGACCACCTCCTTTTAAAGATGCCTCACATAAGAAGTTTTAGAAGTATGTTATTTTGCCTTTCTTTTCTTTTTCCAGTACTACAAACTCAGTCTCAGTGCTGAAATTAAGATCCTTCGGACACGATACTGACTTGTACTTAACTCAATTAGAACCTCAGGAATACCCACACAAGCCCATGGCATTTAGCGATCTGCAAATACGTAATTCACTGATGTTCCCTTTATAGGCAGAAGCGGTAGCAATGTCCTCAACTCTGGTGGCCAGAGGACTAGCAAAAATAAACAGCAATTAAGTATTTTGCACCTGTCAGCAGATACTCTGAGAGACACAAAAGAAATATATAGGTTTAATAAGACCTGTAACTACATTTAAAGTTACTTTTAATAGCAGCACTTAGCATATTTGACATAAACTTTGATAACTACAAAGACAAAAAAAGATAATGAAGCCCTCCTGGCTGTGTATAACATATGGATTCTATCTCATATTGACTACAGCAACAGCACTGCTCTCCCAGGGTTAGAAGAGTGACAGAGATAACCTTATTTTTACAGCAAACAATTGCACTAGATATTGCAGTGTGACAAATAGGCATGTCTTTACCTGGTCATTTTATACTGAGGTGTAACAAGATGATATAAAAATTTTCCAAACTCAACATGCAAAGTTAACTTGCAACCTAACAGAAACAAACAAACAAAAGAGTCTATAAATATTGATAGCATTAGTGCCACACTGCACTAAAAGGTAGTTTGATATTTGACAAGGCATTACTTGCTGTGAGGCAATCATGCAAAACTACAGCATAGCATGAAGAGCAGCAGACCTGCACTTCACTGCAGTGTGGTCAATCTCTAAAGGTACACAAAACACCTGAAGTAAAAATTGATACCCACCTTTAATGCCAGAGAAGTGTAGAAACTGTGAAGATTTTATGAGGAACAGAAGGAAAAAAATATTTCTGGAATATATGGAAATAGAGGGAAAAAATGGGAAAAAAAAAAAAAAACAGCTTCAACAAGTCAAGGTTTCAGTATGTAGTTCTGCTACACTGAAATACTTGTGATGCTCTTTCAGGAAATACTCTCTCCTCTACAGCAATACGGAATGCTTGCTTTTAAGCAAAATTTTAAGGAAATAAAGGCAAAGGCCTGCTACAGTCTCCACCCCAGACCTGAAAAAGAAAACATGACCTACTCTTCCTTCTCCACACACACACACACACACTCCCATTATTATTGTATATTACATATTAACACATAACATAGGCTCAAAAGAATTATCTACTGTTACTTTTAGGATCAGTGCACACTTAATTATTAGCTCTGTACATGTTTTATGATGTCCACTGGTAACTTTTTCTCATCTCAATAACGTTTCTTCCAGTAAAGTTACAAAATGCTTCTGATGAACTCATTTCCTCTCTCCCTCCCCTCCTTCAAAACTACAGGCCGAATGCTGCTGCCCCTCTATATTTACCTTCAGCTATACCACTCCTATCAAATACAATCACTGTTATACTTCTGCTTAACATCTGTTGCATACACGTAAAAGAATGTGGCATCTTGGGCAACCTTTATGAATTCTTTGGAAGACTGCATCACTGTACACAGCCAGGGAAGGAAAGCGTCGGAGGAAGAGAGGGTGCCGCCTTACAGACTCCTCTCCACAACACTTTTTCTGCCACACAGAAGCAATTCATGACAGAGCAGGCCAAGAGAACCGCTGCTGAAATTGCTGAGCTGTGGGAAGCTGGGTCTTTTAACAAAGGCCACTGAAACTTAACAACTGCTGCATGTGACAACGTTCTGCCCCTTTCTTTCCCACACTCTGCGAAATGGAGACAACCGAGCACGGAGAAACAAACTTCACCGTGCAAAAGGCACAGAGGGACCAGAGGGGGCTTCGTTTTACTTCTCCCCACACGCCGCAGCTGCGGCACTTAGCCGTCTCACACTGCGCTTATCGTTACGCTGACACGCACCTACCAAAGCGTACTCTCAGTGAAGCACCCCGATCTCACAGCCGGAAAGGCACCAACCAACCCACCGACGAGCCTCCGCCCGCCTCGGCCCCCGGCTGCGCAGAGGCCCAACGAGCCGCTTGGGGAGGAGCCTTCAGGCGTCCTCTCAGCCCTGGCGCGCAGGTGCCGTGAAGAAGCGGCCTGCACCACCTCCGCCGGCCCGGACCCGCCCCACGCTGAGGGGCAGCCAACAGCCAGCCAACAGCCAGCCAGCCAGCGCGGCCGCGCCTCCCGCCCCGCCGCCGCGCTCCCGCCCACCGGGAAGGGCCGCCCGGGCGCAGCCCGGCAGCGCGAGGGGTGAGGGAAGTCTCGCTGCCCTCTGGGTTCCCGCCGATTCCTCTGAGGGAAATGGCGGCTGCGCGGTGCCGAGAGCTCGCCAGCAGCCCGGGACAGGCCTCAGAGCGGGCCGCGAGCGGACGAAGAGCGCAGATCCGCGCGGGCCGAGCGAGGCGCCTCCCGGCGCCACACAAGAGCGGGAGGGCGGCGGCGGCTCCGCCGGGTGGCCCACGGGGAGCGGTGCTCAGCCTGCGGCCTCGGCGTCCCTCCTGAGGGCGAGGTGGGCACCGGGTTGCCGCGTGAAGCTTTACGCCGAGAAGGGCGGCTGAGGCGAAACTGGGCGCGGGTGCTACTGGTGTGTGGTGAGATCCGGGGAAAGGCTGGCGCTTACAGAGCGAGGCACAGGAACACAGCTGAACATTTTAAGAAAGTTGCTGCTTCCCAAGTTGTGGTGAATTGCTGCCAGAGTTTGAATTGTGATTGTCCTCAAACTTCTCAAGTAACTCAAGTACTTCTCTCGATAAGAAAGCACATACAAAGTAACCTGAAAAACATAAGAATTGACACTAGGCCCGTGGAAACTGTGCTGATTATCCTCTTGTACTTCATTTTGGGAGGGAATGAAATGTCCATATTGTTAACACAGACCTCGTACGTAAGTTCACCTCTTTGAAGAATGAGATTTTTCCTCAGTGTCCCATGAATTCACAGGATTTACACTGCTAAGCTTTCACACACACAAAAGCTACTGCACTTTAAATGAGAGCTGAGGTCATTGGAAAATGAAACTTCAGACAGCTGTAGGTACCATTGTTTGGGAGCACCCTGACTGCTCTGAGTCTTGCTACCATTAGGTGTGAGGTCACAGAAAGTTTCCTTTAATTGTCAGTATATTTGATTATTTACTTAGGGAAACCCACACTTAAAATGTCTCCTTCCCAACCTTGTTCTGTTTTCACAAATCTTTACAAAACCGGTTTCCCTTCTATCAACATCACCATACAGTGTTCTAGGAAGGGATGAGCATGTTTTGTAACATTGTGATCTTATCATTTAGCATCTCAGACTGCTGCAGAGTCAGAAGATCCTCACATATCAGATTCTTAAAGGGGCCTGTAGAAGCAACAGGACATACATGTCAAGTTTACTCCTTGCTCTAAGATCTGATGAAGAGAATTTTTTTTTTTTAAATAACTGTGTATAAGATATGTTCCATAGCAAGTCTTACTTGTTTTATTTTTAAACATTTGTACTAGAAGAGTTCTTGGAGTACCAATAATGGTCATGAGGAGATGGGTTAGCAGGCAGAATGTAAGCAGGTATTTTTTAATCAGATATAGCAGGAATATCTATTACTTGTATATCATTACTGCATGTGTTATATTGTGTATGTAATCATTGTAGGTATTCACATATCATAAAATAACAAGAGCAGATTGAGAAAAAGTATCTGTGATAGGATGAACTAGAACATGTCTACTTGGATGTAGAAGTAACCTCAAAAAAAGTAATATTGAGAAAGGAGATCTAGCTGTGGTTTTGATACTAAACACAGTACACAAAAAACTTAATACTTTAATCTCTTTAGTGCTTTTTAGAAGTTTAGCTGTCTCAAGCACGGTGCTCCTGCTGCCTGCAGGCTTGTACTTCTAGATGTAATCTCTAAGTATCCATTGGAGGGCAGCAGATTACAAACTTTGTCATGTCGTAGCACGGTCAAAAAAAAAAAAAAAAATTCAGCCTTCTGTTGGCCATTCGCAATATCAGTGCCCAGATTTTTCACAATCTCTTGTACAAGGCAGGCATAACTGGGAAATCCATACAATGCTATATTCTCTAGGTCTGACTTATGCAAAGTCCATTGTAATGATGGCCCACTATGAAAATCTTAATTGATACTTATACTCCTCTCATACTACTACTGCTGACACTCACATTAAATTGTTTTGTTTGGATTTTATTTATTTATTTATTTTAAAAGACATCCCAAGTAACTTACATGGACATTCAGTTTAGAAGCATCTCACTCCTTTTGTGACTTCAGCGTAAGGCCTGCTGATTTTTTTTTTTTTTTGTAAAATTCATGCATGGTTGTCATAACTGCATAACACATCTTCATCCACTGGAAGTAAGATTTAGTGCATTTTTTAATTAATTAATTTTTTATTTAATTTTTAAATATTTTTAATTTATTTTAATATAATCCTTCTACATCTTATTTGTAAAGAAGAAACAGGAGCTAGGAATCTATACACTTTCAAATAGGCTAGTGGGAAGCAGTTCATTTGAAGAGGAGATAATTACTTTAGTAGATGCCAAAGTACTTGGCATCTGTGGATGCTATTAACAGTCCATAGAAAAATCAGCTGACTGCAGCTAATTTTTGTCTGCTGGAGGTTTCTAGCCTAGTTACAGCATGTAACACTAATTAAACTGGATATTGGTGAAATCAGGTAGAGATGAAAAACAAGAAATTTAGGTCAGGTTTCTCTTGGGATATAGCCAGCATCGTCTCGACTTATGCAAGTCATAAAAACAACTTTACACATGATAGTACGAAAATGCATATTATTTCCTTTTTATATAAACTTAGAGTGCTAGCTTTTTTTGTCAAGAGGAAAAAAGCACTCAGTTACTGATGGGGCGTATAGGTCTCGACTGCTAACAAGAAATGGATAAAATCCTGTTTTTCTGATCTGGAAAGCATCTGGACAACATTAAGAGATTTCTTTGCTCATGATTCCTCTAGTTGCTATTTTTAATTCCTCAGGACTGCACAGCTATCTTGTGCTAACAATCCTCATTTTCCAGTCAAAAGCACAGGAAGATATGCTGATGTCTGCAGCATTTTAATGCCAGTCCTACATCCATGCTTCTGCAGTAGGTTGGGCAGGACACCTACACCTCTCTAGACCATGGGTAACTTGGAGTCTCTCAGCTCCAGGTTAGGGAGGCGTCTACCTTATTCCCAGCCCGTTGCCAAGCTGACACTTCACAGTCTGCCTTGTTGTATCTGTAAGCCCTATTCAAGAGAAACAATGTCAATCTTTTCTTTAGGAAATGTTTACTAAAGTGATGTTCTGAGAAAGTAGTACACTATAATGAGCAAAATGTGCAGTAATGCAGGTTAAGGAATACTGACCAAATATCTTGCAGGTCCAATTTTATTCCTACTGAATCCAGCCAACATCTGGACTGGGAAGATTGTGAATACCTGACTGCTTCCACACTTTGTGACTAACACTGGATTGCATCATGGGTGTCCACAAAGCTGGCAATATTTCAGTGAGTATTTCCTGCATTACTCAATGTGCAGCATTAAACAAATGCATAAGAGTTTTCAGTCATTTGGAGTGAGCTGTTCAACTTGTGTCGAGATATTTTTATGATTAAAAGTCTCAAATATGTGCCAAGGAACATGTCATATGATACCATGCTATAGGCATTATTTATTTTGATTCCCATTCATGTTTGGGTTTGGCTGCTGGAGATTTGTTTCTTTGTTTTCCCTTGTAGGCTACACTGTAATAATTTACTTACCACTTAGCACTATTTTAAAAAAGATATCATAGCTAATTACCTTGATCTCAGAGTTCGGATTGTACTGGCTTTATTGCCGCTAATGATCTAATCTTAACAGGTAATGAGAACACTCCTGTTCTAAATCACCTCACATGCTGTGTATATCTAAGAGAAAACCGAATGCAACAGCAGAGTGAAGGTGGTGGTGGATAACTGGTATTTCTTTACCCATAAACAGATTAATGCTCATTTATTTAGATGTTGTTCACACTGATAATCTGATTTTGTACTGACAGATTCCCGGGGTTGTCCTCTGATTGTGAATTTAGGAAAAGATGCTTCAATATAACAAACCTAAATATCTTTCTAATATTCTCCAGAAAAAAAGGCAAATTTCTGTTTGAGAGGTAGGATCTAGTCATCTACCAGGAAGGAAGTCTCTGGCATTTTTAGTGGTAGGAGCTTCAAATAGTACAGAACTGGTGTTTTAACCTTCTGTAGGAGTATTTAAAATAAATTTCTTAGCTAAATCATTGATTAAGCCACACATCAGGAAAGGAGACTGAAGTGAATGAGAAAAGTCTAGAATGAAAGTGTGCTGAAAGAAAGAAATTGGTTTTGATCTTTTGACCTAGAATCTTTTCTGATCTGAGACTACATGGTGCCAAGTGAATCCTGCTATGTTTTAAGGTCAAGTTAAATGAAAACGATCTTATACTGGCTGATCCTAAGTTGTTTTGTTTATTGATTCAATCAATTTTAGTCAAACCAAATTGGAGAGTAACATCCCACATAGACCAAATTGTGAGTTCTAACATGAACTCCTGGAGAAAAGACAGCTGGGGACAATTATTACCAACAGGATGTTAGTTGAAGGGAGTGACTTGAGCTGTCACAATTGAAATTAGGGCTGTGTGTCTACAGCCTAACAAGTAAAGCAACAGTGATTACACAGAACAGCATAACAAGTAGTTCCTTACTAGGGAACTTCTAGCTTCCAGTTTGTTAACCTCTACAGTAAGCATAAAACTGTCTCTAGACAAAGTTCTAGATTGACTAGAAATACAAGACTCTGCAAAAGCATTAGGCAAACAGAAACAAATATTAATACAGTATTTTCTTTGTATAAAAGTTATTTTGCTCTGTATAAAGCCAAGTGATAAACAAGAATTAACAAAGAATAAATGAAAGAAAGGCCTAGAACACTTTTGAGTAATTTTGAATGCATAAGAATACACTGAAGTGTATTTTCCATCTTCTCTACAGAAATGTACATGACACAGGGTTTTAATAACTAGAGTCTTAACTACTTTTTTATTGAATTGTAGTTATAGCGTACAGTGGAGTCAAAGCATTTGTAAACCAGAATGAATAGCAATACATAATACTATAATGTGATAGAAAGTATAGCAATAACAGCAGAATGAGACAACCCTAAGCTGCAGCAAATGAGAACAAGCCCAAATACAGCTGCTGTAGACACAGAAGCAAAGAAGAAAACAAAAACAAAACAACAACAAAACTACTTACCTTTGAAAGACCTCTAGTACTAGGGATCTCCAGTAAGATACCTTTGCCTCCACTGCCAAACCTTAAATGAGGTCTGGGAAGGGGTGGATTGTGGTTCCACCCCTTCCTATCACTTAGGAGCACTGTTTGTACCTGAGCTCCCCTCGGTTGGCCCTATCTTCCCACCAGGTGCTCAATCACTTGAGCACAGTTTGAGGCTGTGACTTGGCATTTCTGCTACACAGTAGAATCCCAAAACTCTTAAAAAAAAACATTTTTGTTAGTAGAACATGAGCATGCACTGGTCAGTGATAAGTAATGCGGTTTTAAGCATCATATGTGAACTGTTAATGCTCATAGAGTTTGTAGAACTAATAAACACTTACTTTGTGTTGAAAGCAGTTAGGGAAAAAATACTCATTGTTAGCTGCACTGTTTACTTGAAGTCCACCTCCAGATTTCTTGAAAAGTTTCAGACAAGACTTCACAATTACTCAGTAAAAATAAGATGCTAGGATCACCAGGACAAAAGAATGTAATGCCATCTAAATAAGCAGAGAATGATTATTCTTTGTCATTTAAAGCACAGATGATGACTGGAAAACATCCTGTTTAAAAAAACATTGTTTATCCTACATTATGGTGTATGTTTTTTAATTTCCTTTCCCTCTCACTGTTACTCAGGATGTTTCCTTGATCCCAACATGCTAGTTTCTTCTTTATTCAAGCCTTCTGTTTCCTCCCCAAACACTTCAAAAACATTTATTTCATAAGAGATATTTCTTGTAGAATATTTTCTAACAAGCCTTTCTCTCTGCTTAGTACAGGCTTTGTTCTGCACCTAGAAATTACCTCCTGTGTAAGCATCTATTTCCTGTCTTTGAATGAAAGTTTATTCCATATCACCTCAGTACAGCCTTCAGCATTGTTACCTGTTCTACCTTTCAACACGGCATACCACTCTGATCCAATCTTCTGACAATTTTTTTTTCCTGTGGAACTTCTCTGCCTCCTGTTCCAAAGTACGTTTCTCTGACTAGGAGTATTGTTTTAGGATTGTATTTTTATCATCTGCTCCCCTTAAACCATCTTTCATCTATTTGTCGTCATCCTATGTATTGAAGTCCATCAAAAGGCTTCATTCAGCAGAGTATGTGAACAGAATCTTTGTTCAGCAAAATGAGTAGTTGATTTTATGTTATATTTGTATAACTGAGTTAAGAGCACATGTACTCTTGCAATGGGACCAGTTCCTGGAGATGATGAATGAGGCACAGTCACACTCATTTGTCTCTGCAATCCCCTTTCCTCTCCCTCTGACTCTTCCTCCTCCCTCACTTGGGGGCACTATTCCAACAGATTTGACCTTAAGACAGCTATATTTGAAAATGAACGTTTCCATCAAAAACTGCTCTGAAAAGTGATATGCTGGTTATTACTGTTTGGAAAAGGTGGCCAGATTCACTGTACCACCTTTCTTGGTTTCTATTAGAGTCTTTTAAGGTGTGACACATATTCCTGGTCAGTTAATGCTGGATCAAATTTTTATGACTATCATATTAATTTGATAAATGAAGAAGGCCGTTGCTAGACTCTTACTATCCAAAGCTGTCAAGAGGGAGCATCTCTTGCTGTGCCTGGTGGCACAGGACCTGGGCAGATCTCTCCAGTGCGAGTACAGCTGTCACTATCCACAGATCCAGCAGAGGGAAGTGTTGTTCTAAAATATGCACCCCCACTACTTGTGGGTAGTACTTGTAAACTGCAAGTCACAGTACTGCGCCAGGAGATCAATGATCTGGAGCCTATGAAATATGTGATTTATAAATTCTCAGAAGAAGACAAAGAAGCTTTAGCAAATGCCAGAAAGAGCAAGCATGATAATAATTGGGATTTGCCAGGGACTGAAGTGATCTTTGGAGTTTAAATGTTTTTATTCTCTTTTGGAGAGCAAATGTTTATGGCATTTTAGAGATTAAAGGGTTATGATCTGATGGTTTGTGCTTCAGCTAATTGTGAAACTGTAGGCTTTCATATGAAAAGGTGGGATCTTGAAAAACAGATGGCCCAAAATATACTTGGTGATCACAAAGCGAGCTGTCATAGAAAGCTTTATTCAAAAAGTTTGGCTTCATTTCAGAACAATTGTCATTCATGATGCTGTTGCTTCAACAACTCCAAGCAGCATTGGAGGGCTAAAAGTCAAGTGTGATGTCACCTTTGTGAAAGAAAGTTCAATTAGAAATATTTTAAAGTGAAAATTCAGTGTCAAATATTACCCTTCTAAATATATGATACTCTATGTAGCTTTGTCTTACTTATTCCATCAGATTTCCAAGGATTGTGTGAGTGAAGAAACTGAAGTGCATGCTCAAGACATCCATTAATCATGCATGCCAGTTTAAACTGTTACTTCTTCTGAAGTTCAAAGCTGGTTTTGTAACACCTAAGCATCAAGTTAAGAAAGATCAGGGGATGGCATGATGTGCAAAATGAAGCTCAAATTTTCTTAGTGTTTGGTAACTTGAGTCATTGATTGAGCATCTGGGGAAAAGACCTGGGAGCACAGGTGAAGACAATTCAGCTGTGTGATTGGAAGGGAGGAGGCCTGGCTGCACCTCTCTTAGACCTCATCTAAGGGCTGAGTGGCTAGAGGAAGGTTTTTTGGTTGGAGATCCCTTCCTTGGGGAGTTTTTATTGTGAGCTCTAGGTCTTCAAAGACAGGTGAGTACTTTTCTTTTGTAACGTCTTTCTATTATGTTATTCCCCTTGTCATCGCATCTCTTGTGTTGCAATTCTGTTGTGCTGACTTTTTCTAATTTTTACATTTAGATTGTTAAGGTGTTGTTTTCTGTGTGTCTTGTAAATGTCTGAGACAAGCTACTAGAGCTTGAAGAATGTTTTCCAGGTAATGCTGTTTGAAAAACATCGGAAGGAGCTCATCCTAATGCATTAGTTTTAGGATAACTCTAAAGATGAACTAAACCCATTGGGTTTACAGCTAAAAACAGCATTGGTCTTGAGTGGGCAGATAACAGAGCATTCCCACTGCTCAGATGTCATTGTTCAGAGACCTACAGGGTGTGATGGATGGGTTGAGTGCTCCCTCTGTGGATCCTCAGGAGCCATTCAGCAGCAGAGTAAATAGAACCAAACCTGGCAAGTTAAGTTGTAATCTGTTGCTCAAGCAATTAGAACCTCATAACCATTAGGTGAAGTTCCAACTTAATATTTTTCCTGTTATTTTTATCACAACAGAGTGTCCCTGGTTTTGTAATTTAATGAAATAATAATTTGTCTTCCTCGCCTGTTACTGACAAAAAAGAAAAGTGTGGCAGGTCTGGCAGACAGATTTTTCATTCTTAGTGAGTAGGAATAAAGATTATAGAATAAAATATATTTATTTTGCTCACAGAAAGGGTAAATAGTTCCAATATGGTAAAACGGATTAAATCATGCTAGCAGAGCAGGTGATTCATAATGATGATGCAGTCAGCTTAGGAAGATGCAAGTCAGGAGGCAAACAGGACTGCTGGCCTAACTGATGTTTACCAAAGTTCAAGAATGATTTTCAGAGAAGAAACTGCAGAAAATGCCTTGTGTTACCATCACTGTGATGACAATAGCATCTCCTCTGAGGTTAAAATACCACTAATTGGAGTCTACCACTGTAAGTAGAAGCTATCAGCCTAAAGTAAAAACAGAACAGAACAAATACATTCTGCACCACACTAGCAATATGGCTGCAAACCAGGAAAATGAGCATGTGGTTTTTTTACAACATATCTGTTTGCATTAGTGTAAGTTTGGATTAAAGTGCAAGCTTCAGTTTCTTCGTAACTAGTTTCACTTTGGACTCAGTGGTGATGTTTGAGTTCCAAAATATTTTTGCATGGAAGAATGTTATATTTTAATAGCCCTTTTAAAAGCTGAAACTAATAGTAGTACCTACATGTGCTCAATATGATTTGGAAATTATTATTAAGATTTGTGCCAGTGCTGTCTAACCGAGGGGAGTTTTGTGCAGATGTGAGGAAAAGGATTGTTTTGAAAATAGATCTTTTGATGTAAAGCTGATGACAGGACAAATGGCAAATATTTTATATCAGAATGTAAGGAACATAATCATGTTGTAATTAGGATTTTGAACAGATATTCGCAGTGGAGTTGGGAAGAATGAAAATATTGCAGAATTACTTGAGTACATTGAGCTGTTTGTGTGCGTAACTAAGAGGAAGTAGAAACAACCCATTTTTCCCAACTATTTGTAGGAATTGAGGCAGAACTCCAGTTTTTCTTCTGGGCTTCATGCATTTAGCCCAGGAGAAGCAGCCTTTGCAGACACGCTCAAGGGAGGGAATCACCTGACAGCTGGAGAAAGAGGAAGCAGGAAAGTCAAATGAACTTCTGGTGGTTTTTAAAGTGTTGTGTGTACTTGTGGCTTTTTTAATGTTATCTGTTTTTGACTGAAGTTGAATAGCTGAATGAGGGCCTTGCTGTGCAGCGCGGTGGCTTTCAGCTGTCCCTTTCATAAAGGAGGGTGCTCGCTGGGTGTGCCTGACCACTACAACGGGGCTGCAGCTCTGCAACGCGTGCAGTGGTGGGAAAGCTCGTTTTGTGCACGCATTCATTTTTTATTTGTTTCAATGATCGCGGCCGGCGATGGTTGTTTTCCCACCTCTTTCACCTCCCACTTTACCTCCTCCGTTAGTCTGAACGGTGGGGGGCGGCAGCCTCCGCGCCGGCTCCAGCCGGGCCTCGGAACGGGCCTCTCGCCGCTCCCCGGCCGCTTCCGCCCCGTGCGGCCAACGCAACCCGACCGCACGGCGGGCACGGCGCGAGGCGGTGCGAGGGAGACCCGGGCGGGGTCCGCCGTTCCGGGCGGGCCGCAGGTGCGCGGCGAGGGGCGGGCCGGGCGCGGCGGCGCTTTTGTCCGCCGGAGCCGCCTCCCCGCCCCGCGGCCCGTCAGCGGTTCCGCCGCACGCGCCCCATTGGCCGGCGCGAGCGGTAACGTGACGGCGGGGCGGGGCCGGAGCCGAGAAGTGCCGGTTGGAGCCGGTGCCTCGCGCCGCGCTGCGGGCTGCCGCGCGGACGGGGCGCGCTGCGGTGCGGACCGCGCCGGGCGGGAGGCAGGAGCGGGTAAGGCGCTGCGGGCAGGTAAGCGGGGGCGGCCGTCTCCGGCAGCGCCGCGTCTTCGCCGGGCGGGAAGAGCGAGACGGAGTGGAGCCACCGAGGGCGTCGTGCAGCCCCGTGGGAGAGCGCGCGGCTCGCCTACCGCCCGCACGCGGGGATGGAGCCCGCGGGGCGCCCGGCGCCGCCCGCTCTCGGGGCTGCCGCCCGCCCTCGGCCGCGCGCTGCGGCGGCGCTCACCTGCCCGCCCCGCGGGCCGCCGGGCTGGGTGCGGACCGGCCCCGGGGATCGGGGCGCCTGCCCGTGCCTGCCGCAGGGCCCGGGGCCGCCCCGCCGCGGGTGGGGCCGGGAGGAGAGCGCTGCTCCGCTTTGCGTAACGGCGGCTGCACGTGTCCTCGGCTGACCGCCGGACGCGGGTCGCCCGCCGCTTCCCCTTTTTCGCCCCGGTGCGGCGTCACCTGCGCCCGCGGGGCTGCCGCCTGCCCTCGGGCGGCTCGAAGCTAAGGCCTGGCCGTGCGGGGCCGCCCGCGCCCTGCCCCGGGCTGCCCGGTCCTCTTTCCTCACCCGGTGCTTCCATTCCCCGGCCCGGCTGCGCGCTCCTCCGTGTTCTTGCTTTTGTTTGTCCTCGGACCGGGTGGGTTTGGTGGTGCGAGGCTGACTTCGTGCTGATCTGCTCTGTGGTGGAACTGAGGCAGCTCTCTGGCTCCAATTAGGACTCTGTGGTGAGCACTGCAATCAGCCGTTTTCATAGGAGCAAGGGAAGCACTGAAGCTGCTTTCCCTGAAGCTTGACTTTATACGGAGGTTGTCATTAGTGATGCTGGTCAGGTAACTGTGTTTGAACTGATGCCCAATGTGGGCATTTAAAGTAGTTCCGAGGTGCTTGAACACGGTGAGAGCTGCATGGTGTGATTTCAAGCATGGATGCTCCAAGTTCTGTTGGCTCTCGGCTTTCCTCATCAGTTTGCTGGAGTGATGAGGTGCTGGCTGCCTCCCGGTGTCTTAGAGACCTCCCTCCTGTACTTTCTCAGCAGTGAGGGCATTTGGTCACAGAGATATTGGTGTGAGTCCTTAAACATTTAAGGAGGTGCTCCAAAGGCTTGAGGGTTACAGTCCTGTAGGTTATTGCTCATAAAACTTGCTCTGTTGTTTTTGTGTGCGGTGTGTGCTGCTTTCACCTTGTGCCACTGAGCTGGCAGGAGGATGGTGGAGTTCCCCTGCACTGTGCTATCCCTCTGCAGGGTGCAGTACTAACCAGCACGAGGGATGTGGCAGGAAGAGAGGGGCTGCAGCATAAAACCAGCAGCCAGGACTGGGTACTGCTTCTCTGAAGCATTTTCCCTTGTGTAGTGAAATGCTTTGTTGTAGCTAGCAATCAAAGCCTGAGTTCTAGCGTATGTTTTACGCAGTAAAGAAGTATTTTACACAGTTACCTACTTTCAATTTCAGTAGGATTTGTGTAATTCATAGAAATTTGCATACTTGTTCCCTTGCACTCCTGAGAAATGAGTTTCGAGTCTGATTTTGCTGTTCTTACACTTTTTTTTTTTAGGAAGATGGGATTCTGACTGGAAAGAAAAAGAGAATTGCCTTTTGTTTCTTTTCAGTTACTAATACAGCTGCTCTCTGAAGTTGCTGAAAGCACGTTGAGTAGATTTTAGACAAGGAGTGGTAGTGCTGAAGAGGCATCCAGCAGTAATTCAGCATTATGATATAAGCCTCATTGAGTAGTATATCACTGCCAAAGAAGTATTTTTTAGTGGATTTTATGAATGAAGGGGAGGAAAGAAGGAAGGAAGCCTTTTGTGTTCCCTTAGAGGTAGTGAAGGAGGCTGTGGCTCCAGTAATGCTACTACAGTGTACAATACCTTCTGCTAAAGCCATAAAGCTTTACTCAGTTAGGATTAGAAATGGGTATTTAATGTGCCTAAGGGGATAGAGCATGCTTTATACTGGTCTCTGTTGCTTGTTTCACACTATCTGTATCCTCTGCACTAACCTGTTGGGCTCTATTTGTCCTTCCTGTAGGCATCCTTGTAGCAGCTGTTCAGCTATTGTCCTGCAAAGTGTTACTGTGCCAGCTGCTCTTACAGTTCTTTTTTAAGAAGTTAGAGATAATTTGTCTGTATAACCAGAGTAGCAATGTGTAAGAGCAGAGAGAGTGTAGTATTAACATTTGAATGTTTAAAATTGCTATAATGTTAATGCTTAAGTAGGATAGATTGTATGTTACTTTAGGAACAGAAGCATTTTTCTTAGTTTGCTAGTTAACAAATTATTTGCTTGATTCTTCTTAACTGGTGACAAGTTATGGTATGTGCTGTCTAATAAAGACTTGTGTTGTGTGTGGGGTGAGTGCAGAGCCACACATCACAAGCTTGTAACAGTGCTCTGTGGTAGCTGCTAAAAGCAGCTGAGAAGCTGTGGCCTTCATTTTGTTCTCCCTGCCATCACCACGTGGGCGGTCAGTGTCATTAATGTCAGAAAGCTTGTTATGAGTCATGTGACCTGAAGTTACTGATAACTAACTGGCACAATGGTATGCACTGTGTTGTGTATGTGTTCCAGTAGCAGTTTTGTATGCAAACTTTGTTT